CACATCCCACATCCCACATCCCACATCCACATCCCACATCCACATCCACATCCACATCCACATCCCACATCCACATCCCACATCCACATCCACATCCACATCCCATATCCCACATCCTCATCCCACTACTGCATCCCACATCCCGAGGCTGCTATTAGCATCATGGCTGCTCTGCTTCACATCCAGCTTCCTGCTAATGTGCCTGGAAGGCAGGTGTGAGCCTGGTGCCTGGGCCCCTGCCGCCATGTGGGAGACCAGGCTGGGGGTCCTGGCTCACGGCCCAGACCAGGCTGTTGTGGTGTTCGAGGGAGTGAACTACTGGATGGGAGCTCTCCTTTTGTCTCCCTCTCTGCATTTCAAATAAATAAACCTTTTCAGACACGTGGATTATAGGTTAGCAGAAACTTTAATTTTCTAAAGACTGTTGCACCTTAAACACAACTGAGGAACAAAGACATCCCACTTTTCTAGAGGGTGGGAGCTGTTCCACGTGCTCGCCCCACTTCTCATCCAAGCTTGAAGGCCCTCTCGTCTGAGTTCACATCCACAGCAGACATGCAGGACTGCACTCCTGGGCTCACTCAGCCCCGCACGCGGCCACGTCCCCCATGCGATTGTGTACCCCCAGCTTTCCGTCTCCAGGCGCATTCGACCCGGGTCCCTGCATTCTCCTGGGGCCAAGCCTGCAACAGCTGAGACCCGGCTTCAGAATCCAGGTCAGGCTGCCATCTGCAATGCTGCCATCCCATGTGGGTGTCAGTTCAGTCCCAGCTGCTCTACTTCTGATCCAGCTCCCCACTAATGCGCCTGGGGAAGCAGTGGAGGATGGCCCAAGTGCTTCAGCCCCTGCACCTGCAAGGGAGACCCAGATGAAGCTCCTGGCTCCTGGCTTCGGCCTGGACCAGCCCCAGTTGTTGTGCCCACTTGATAAATGAACCATTTATATGATTATAAATATAAATATATAAATATATATAAAATATATAATTTATATTTTATTTTTTAATTTTAATTTTATATTTTATTTATATTTATATAAAATATAAATATAAAATATAAATAATATATGATTGATTCAAATCAATCAATCAATCTTTAAAGAATTGAAAAAAATGACTTCGGGCCTTTTGGAAGCAGGACTTAACTGACTCCACTGGAGAGCCTGGTTCAACTGTTTTCAGGTTTACACACCCCAGATGATGAAATTCAGAGGCCGAGGAGCACGGCTCCGATCTGCCTCTCTTGGCACCTGGCCAGGTGGCTCTGAAGGCTGCAGCCTTTTCTAACGCTGGTCTTGCATAATCGTGTGGTTGCAGGCTTCCTGGAAAACACATCAGCTGCACTCACACGCAGACCCAGGTGAGAACACAGCAGCTGTGTGAGCGGCTCACATCAGCACCGCAGAAGAGGGAGTGCTCCCTTCGCCCCAGTCACTCTCGGGTTCACAGCCAGCGCCACACATGAAGCTCGTCGCCAGGACATCGTAACAGCAGCATAGCAGGCACATATGGGCACGCCACGGTTACTTGTGGAAGTGAACAGGCTTTTCCCTGCTGTTCGTCCGCATCACAAACGAGGCGTCATCATCGGCTTTGAAACTGTTTTTCTGAAGAACGCGTGTGCAAGAAGAAATACGCATGTGCCATCTTGTGCGTCACAAAACTGACTGGAAGGACGGCAGCCAACGTGGCGCTGCCAAACACTCACGAAGACGAGATAAATCCTGACGGATTCCACCGGCAGAGACTAAACAATCCACTTCTGGATAGACGGCCGTGACTTACAGACGGTGGAAGGCAGGGGAGCCGCAGGTGCCAACATCCTTGTTGTGAACGCCAAGGATGGCACCAGGACACAGTGGCTGGATGAGTGCCGGCGAGCTGTGCCGTAGCAACCACTTACAGGACGCTACGGGGCTCACTGCCCTGGTCTTGTTCTGCAGGGCAGGCAGGAAGCCTCAGGTCTCTCTCAGGGTGGGAGGCGAAGTCCCGGTTTATGGCAGAGAAGTCGGGAGAGCGGCCGTGGCGGATCCTGCAGCCCCTCACCCACAGGGCGCGCCCTCGCCTCACGCGGCAGGGAGTCAGGCCCTGGCTGCGTGGCCTGCGTGGGAAGTGCGGGGTTTCTGCGCCACGGCAGACCCACGCGCCTCGCTGTCTCCCTCCCTGTCTGCCCTGCTTGCTTTCCACACGGGGCGCTGCCTGTCTCTGCTGCAGCAGACGCGTGGAGAGCTGGTTCTAGATCGTTCCTCCTCTGCGCTTGCTCAGTAAGATTCCACGGTAAGCACCGCTCCCGCCGGGCCCCACATTTTATAGCTCGTATTTTCACTTAAGTCAAAATAGTTACATTTCTCTTGAAACTTCTTTTAACCGTGTGTTCTTTAGCGGTGTGTAGCTTAACCTCCAAAATTTAGGATTTGCCAATTTTCCGGTATTGATTTCCAATTTCTTGCCATTGTTGTCTGAGAACATTGTGTAATTAGGAGGGCACATGGGACAGACGCTGTGGTGCAGCGGGTTAACGCCCTGGCCTGAAGCACTGACATAGCCTTTGGGCACGGGTTTGACACCCAGCTGCTCCACTTCCAATCCAGCTCTCTGCTATGGCCTGGGAAAGCAGTGGAAGATGGCCCAAGTCCTTGGGCCCCTGCACCCTCGTGGGAGACCCAGAAGAAGTTAATGGCTCCTGGCTTCGGATCAGCGCAGCTCCAGCCGTTGAGGCCAATTGGCAAGTGAACCATCAGATGGAAGACCATTCCATCTCTCTGCCTCTCCTCTCTCTGTGTAACTCTTTCTTTTTTTTTTCTCTTTCTTTCTTTTCTTTTCTTTTTTTTTACAGGCAGAGTGGATAGTGAGAGAGAGAGACAGAGAAAAAGGTCTTCCTTTTGCCGTTGGTTCACCCTCCAATGGCCGCCACGGCCGGCGCACCGCGCTGATCCGAAGGCAGGAGCCAGGTGCTTCTTCTGATCTCCCATGGGGTGCAGGGCCCAAGCACTTGGGCCATCCTCCACTGCACTCCCTGGCCACAGCAGAGGGCTGGCCTGGAAGAGGGGCAACCGGGACAGAATCCGGCGCCCCGACCGGGACTAGAACCCGGTGTGCCGGCGCCGCTAAGTGGAGGATTAGCTTAGTGAGCCACGGCGCCAGCCTACTGTGTAACTCTTTCAAATAAATAAATCTTTAAAAAAAACTTGGAGAGTACTTCAAAAAGCTCATGAGACAAAAAAAAAAAAAAAAAGGTAGATCCAAATTTCAATTTTTTTCACCAAAATAAACTTTTAGTTGCTTTTTCTTGTCTCATGAGCTTTTTGAAGTGCCCTCCTAATTATACAATGTACATTCTCAGACAACAATGGCATTAAATTGGAATCAATGCTGGAAAGCTGGAAAATTCTAAATATCTGGAAGATCCGGAAGAAGCTCCTGGCTCCTGGTGGTGGCCATCTGGGACGTGAACCAGCTTGCTCGCTTGCTCTCTCCCTCTCCGTAGCTCATTCAAATAATCTTTTTAAAAATTACATATTAGCGGTATTAGAGCGTTAGCGGTCATGGAGGGGAGGGCGGTGGCCGGAGCGAGTCTCCTGGGTTCTTTTCCTAAGCTAGTAGAGAATAAAAAGCCGGGAAACAGTTTGCTAAGAGGCAGAAATCTTTATTAGAAAAGAAACTTGGCCGGTGCCGTGGCTCAACAGGCTAATCCTCTGCGTTGTGGCGCCGGCACACCGGGTTCTAGTCCCGGTCGGGGCGCCGGATTCTGTCCCGGTTGCCCCTCTTCCAGGCCAGCTCTCTGCTGTGGCCTGGGAAGGCAGTGGAGGATGGCCCAAGTGCTTGGGCCCTGCACCCACATGGGAGACCAGGAGAAGCACCTGGCTCCTGCCATTGTGTCAGCGCGGTGCGCCGACCGCAGTGCTTGGGCCCCGGCGGCCATTGGAGGGTGAACCAACGGCAACTGTCCACTCTGCCTGTCAAAAAAAGAAAAGAAAAAAGAAAAGAAAAGAAAAGAAACTTTATTCGATTGGCCGCGGCGGAGGAAGTATGAGCGGAGAGGAGCCCAGGCGGGGCGCCCGCAGGGTCGCTGGCTTCCACCAGTGCGCGGGTTCTAAGGTGGGGCTGTCTGTTCACTGGGCCATCCTACTGGGGCGCCCGTGGACGGGGGCTCTGGAGGTGGGGGTCCTAGAGATGGGGGCTCTCATGGAGATGGGGGGGTCTCATGGAGATGAGGTCTCCTGAGATGGGGGGTATCACGGAGGTAGGGGGGTCTCCTGGACATGGGGAGTCATTAAAATGGGGTCATGGAGATGGGGAGATCATGATGTGTGATCTCCTGGATTTGGGGTGTCATGGAGATGGGGGTCTTCTGGAGATGGGGCGTCTTATGGAGATGGGAGTCTCCTGATAGGGGGCTCCTGGAGATGGGGGTCTCATAGATATGGGGGGTCTCCTGGGATGGGGGTCTCCTGGAGATGGGGGGTCTCCTGGAGATGGGGGTCTCACGGAGGTGGGGGGGTCTCCTGGACATGGGGAGTCATTAAAATGGGGGTCATGGAGATGGGGTCTCCTGGAGATGGGGGTCTCATAGATATGGGGGGTCTCCTGGGATGGGGGTCTCCTGGAGATGGGGGATCTCCTGGATTTGGGGGTGTCGTGGAGATGGGGCGTCTTATGGAGATGGGAGTCTCCTGATGGGGGGCTCCTGGAGATGGGAGTTCCTGGAGTTGGGGGTCTCCTGGAGATGGGGGTCTCACAGATATAGGGAGGTCTCCTGGAGACGGCCGGCCCCCTCCTCTCCCGCTCCGGTCCTAAGACTGCACCCACCCTGAGCTGCGATTTAAAGCCGCCAGGTCACACGAGGTGGCCTGGACCTCGGAGCCTGCCCGGCCTCCCCAGGGCCCAGCCCCTTCCCTCCCGGCTGAGTGGACGCTTGCCCCCACCTGAGGGGATGCAAAGCCGCTGGTCACACCCGCAGCTGGTCCGGCCCCGTGACAGTGGCTTGTGACGGACATTCTCCGTGTCCGAGGGCCGCAGCCCCGCGCCCACTGGCCGCCCGAGGCAGCCACGACCACCTCCGCCCACCTCCGGAATGGACGCCGGCAGCGAGGCCGGGGAGCCGGGCCGCCGCCCGACGCTGGCCGCCTCCTGGGATGCCGCCGGCGGAGTCCTGACCCAGAGCCTCGTCCTCCTGCGGGCTGGCGTGGACGCCCGGGACCCGGACTGGGAGGAGCAGCTGGCGCCGCCGGCTCCGGGGTGCGCTGCGGCGGTGGGGCCGGGGCTCCGCGCTGCTGCGGGAGGCGTGCGGGGAGCCGGCGGCCGCGAGGGCAGAGGGTGCGGGCCCGGGGCGCGGGGGCGGGAGTGGGCGACGCCGGGGCCTCCCCCGGTCCTGGTCGCCGCGCACCGCGTTCCCGCGGGGCTCGACCCACCCGTCCAGCCCGAGGCCAGCGAACGAGCCCCCGCGCGACCGCGGTGCGTCCCGGAGGCCCGGCGTGGGCGCCGCTGCCCTGCGTGGCGGAGAGACGCGTGTTCGTCCCGGGCCGCGTCCTCCGCCGGCCTCCGTGCGCGCTGCGGGCGCCCCGGAAACTGACGGAGTTAGCAGAGGGTCAGGTGCGGAGGCCGGGGACGGCCGGGGAGGACCGGGAACCCGGCGTCTGCGGCCTCCGTGTCCCGTGGGTGCGGCCGCAGCCCGCGGCGGCCCGGGCCGGGCAGTGCGGGGGCAGGAACGCCGGCCCAGGGGGCGCGGACGCCACTGGGAGCCGGGGCCGCGTCCCCGCCCGCTGCCCGGGCAGCTTCCTGCGCATGCGCGCCCCGGGCCGCAGGTGCGGGCTCAGGGCTGGGGGCTCAGGTGCGGGCTCCCCGCCTCCTACCTGGGAGACCAGAAGGAGCTCCAGGCTCTGGCTGCAGCCTGGCCCAGCGTTTGGGGAGGGAACCAGGCGTGAGATTATAGCTACCTATCACCCATCTATCTGTCTATCATCCATCTATCTATGTCATCTGTCATCCATCTATCATCCCTATCAATCATCTCTACTATCTATCCATCATCATCTGTCTATGTATCCATCATCTGTCATCTCTATTGTCTATATCATCTATTATCTACCCATCATCTGTCTATGTCATCTCCATCATCCTATCTATATCATCTATCATCTGTCATCCATCTATCTGTATACCTGTCTACCTGTCTACCTCTCTATCCACCCACCTCTCAGATAAAATGCAGTTCCCTGAGAGATGCCCGCGGCCTGTGGGCGGTGGGAGCAGTGCCCCGAGCCCGCGCTGAGCAGGGCTTCCCGACTTTGTCCTCAGCCAGGGTCTGGTGCGTTTGGAGAGGAGCCAGTGCAGCCAGGACGAGGCCCCCTGCTTCCTGTACCTGCTGTGTGACCCTGAGGGAGGGGACGCCGTGGCGGCCGTCGGCGTCGTGAGCTCAGCGAGAAACATGGAGGTGTACCTGGGCCAGGAGTACTGTGGAACCAGCAGGGGCGAGAGCGTCGGTTCCGTCCCGAGGGGCAGGTTTGTGCCTGTGCTTCTGGAATATTCTGAGCGAGTGGTGTAGTTTCCTCGACCTTTGTGGAATGTGTAGATCCTCCTGCCGCTGGTGCTGGCCCGTGGTGGGGGGAGGGGAAGCTGCCGCTGTGCACACAGCCGTGTAGACCCTGTGCACACAGAAGTGTAGACCCTGTGCACACAGAAGTGTAGACCCTGTGCACACAGAAGTGTAGACCGTGTGCACACAGAAGTGTAGACCCTGGCATCTGAGGGCAGTCGAGAATGGCTTAGTCAGCTCTCAGGACTGTAGAATTTTTTTAAAAAAGATTCATGTTTTTATTTGAAAGGGTCTCAGATAGGAACAGAGAGAGACGGAGGATTTCCCAGGTGGCCCCAACGGCCAGGGCTGGACCAGGCCCGAGCCAGGAGCTTTTTCCAGGTCTCCCACGTGGGTGCAGGGGCCGCAGTGTTTGGAGAATCTCCCACTGCTTTCCCAGGCCTTTGCAGGGAGCCGGATCGGAATGGGACAGCAGGGACACGGGATGCTGCCGGTGGTGGCTTTACCTGCTGCACCACACACCGGCCCCTGAATGCAGAAATGTTGAGCCAATGGAGGGCAGTATGTCACAGCTACTGTGCAGTTTTATTGCGATGAAATTCAGACTCACAGGCGTCTGTTGCCCAGATATTGATTTCTCGGTACTGGGGCTTTGAACACCTTTGCTTCCACGAAGCCAGCTACAGATGGCATAGGAATCTGACCGCCACGCCGTCCTGTGGTGATTTTTTTTCCGATCTCGTAGGTTCGGATCAGTCTCTTTTGCACAGACTCTGAGCTCTGTTGCATCCCAGAGCTGTTGGAAATGGCAGCTGTGTTTATGGATCTTTAACCTAAGCTCTGTCCCGGGAGTGCACCTGCGCCATCTGCTCAGATTCTCTGTAGCTGGCCAGGGCGGGGGCAGGGGCAGGCCTGCAGGGGTCGATCCCAGGACCCAGCATTGACCTGGGAACATTTATTTTTAAAATGTGACTGTTAAAAGTGGTAATGTAAGAAATTTTTAAAAGTTCATTCTTTTTGTTTGTAGTGAACATGAAAAGATTATTTTGTACAAAAACTATCTAAAATTGGAGTCATGCACACATGCTTGTAAGATAAGGGTAGGTCATTGCTAAACTTTAAGTCATTTGGCAGCTAACTTGGTTTCTGTACTATATGTACATAGTTTTCATTGGTTTGGAATTGTAAGTCATCCAAGATGGTCCCTAATTTTAATACATCTAAACATAATAAATTACTTTTCTAAATTAACACTTTTTAATAGTGAGTTCTTTTTAAATTTCTCCTTTTAGATGCTAGGGGATATGTATTTTAAGTAGTATATTTTTGAAGCCTTAGAAACTGAGGTTAAAAACATTTAACAAAAATCTTTATATAAAATTTTGTTGCCCCCCCCCCCGCCAAAAGAAAAAACCATAAACAATTTTGGCTCCATTTACTGAGAAAGACAAAGGAGCCAAAATGTTAAAGGGATTTGAGAAAGATTGTGCGGATGAAAATGAGTGACGTCAGGAACCAGGGGCAGGATACTCAGGGACCACGTTCCACTCTAACAGTCACTCTCTCTGCTCTGTTGCTGATACACCAGCCTCGGGCGAGTTTTTACACCTGTGTGGACCGACCTCATGCGTAAAATTAGGGGACTAGAGAAAATAAATTGCTGAATTCTTTTTCCCTCTAAAATTCTGTGCTTATTAATTATAAAAGATTATGAAATGTTTTTATTTATTGATTTGAAAAGGCAGAGTTACAGAGGCGGAAGGAGAGTGAGATTTTCCGTCTGCTGGTACACTCCCCAAATGGCTGCAGTGGCCGGGTCTGGGGCTAGTCCAGAGCCAGGAGCTTCACCCAGGTTTTCTATGTGGGTGCAGGGACCCAAGGACTTGGGCCATCTTCTGCCTTGTTAGGTGCAGTAGCAGGGAACTGGACCTACTGGAAGTAGAGCAGCCAGGACTGGAGCTGGCACCCATATGGGATGCTGGCATCATAGGCAGCAGCTTAACCTGCTACACCGCAATACCAGCCTCTATCAAACATTTTTAGAATAAGAAAAAATAAGTGATTTCAGACAGCAGTCTCACAGATCTAATGTTGTTTTAAGTCTCACATGCAGATAGCTTCTAAAGCCATTTGAATAAGGCGCTCCATTCATTCAACAAGTGTTTGAAGTCAAATACCATCCTAGGCCCATAGGAATGAACCCTGATGAAGTCAGCTGAAACGTCGGCCCTCACGGCTGTTCTCTAGTGGATCAAGTGTGATGCTGCCAGACTTATCATCAGATGTGCGCCATAGTTGGTGCTGACTGGGGGATTATGAAGGAAGGGCACAGTGGGAGGTTGGGAGGAGGGTATGTAACGGGGTGTTGTCTTCATTACTGAGGATAGTCACTTTTTTTTTGTAAAGATTTATTTATTTGAAGGTCAGAGTTACATAGAGAAGGAGAGGCAGAGAGAGAGAGAGAGAGAGAGAGGTCTTCCATCTGCTGGTTCACTCCCCAGATGGCCGCAATGGTCGGAGCTGCGCCAATCTGAAGCCAGGAGCCATTAGCTTCTTCTGGGTCTCCCATGTGGGTCAGGGGCTCAAGGACTTGGGCCATCTTCTACTGCTTTCTCAGGCCATAGCAGAGAGCTGGATCAGAAGTGGAGCAGCCAGGACTCGAACCAGCACCCATGTGGGATACCGGCACTGCAGGCGGCAGGTTTACTTGCTATGCCACAGCGCCAGCCCCTCTAAAATTCTTAAAAGTTTTAGATTTATGTACTTTTTTAAGGTAATTAGAGAAGTAACTGCAAATGATGATAGTTCTAACGTCTTACTGTTCGGGGAACATTTCTGTTTTGTGACAGTTGCTGTCGTTGGGTGAGAAGCAGTGTGTGTTCCTCAGTAGAGTTGTGGTGCACGTGAGGTCGGTTCCGGCAAATTCCTCCACACGCTCTCCTGCTCTGGGGTCCAGGATAGACCTGGACAAGGTCCAAACCATGATGCGGTCCATGGGCTCCAAGTTATCGCCGGGTGCCCAGCAGCTGATGGATATGGTTCGGTTTCAGCAGCAGGTGAGTACAGGTGGATTTCTGTCCGCGCCTGTTAAAAATTCCCAAGCCGGGCCTTTAACAAGGCAGCGCGTGATGTCACCTTAAGTCTTGACTCTGATGAAAGAGCTTCCCTCGTTTGCTCGCATAAATCCACATCTCGGGACTCGCCCTCCTGCCCCACGTGCGGGCTGCAGTCCTCGCAGTCTGGGCTCCTGTCGCTGGCCTCGCTGTGCTCCGTAGGCAGCCTCTCGTGGAGCAGGGCCTCGGAGGGGGCCAGAGTGACCAGTCAGTCTCCTGGTGGAAGGCTTTTCCAGTCCAGAGCTTGCGCGTGGGGAAGGAGGAGGACGACTTGGGAAGACTACTAAGGAGACGGAATTAGAGGAGTGGGATTAGGCAGGGAGGGGCCAGGAGGCGGAGCAGACACAGCAGACCGGGGCTCCAGCCTCCCGTGCGGGAGGAAGGGGGTGTGACGAGGTCGTGGGTACAAGGTCATTTCTGAGTGAAGAAGTGACGGGGAGGCAGAAAGGATGGAGCGAGGTGGTGAGAGCTTGAGTGCTGTCTGGTGTGTGCAGGTCTCCCTGTGGTTGGAGATCGGCTCCGCGGAACGTGTCCGTGGAATCAGAAGACAGTGGGACTGCGAGAAGGGCACCCCCACGGGCTCTCCTCCAGGCGAGAGTCAGGGACTGACCTGGGCTGTGCGAGGCTCAGACAGCACAGCCGCTGGGCCTGGACCGCTAAGGACCGTCCCGTGCGGGGAGGTTTGCAGGACGGCCACGCCGCTGATTTCTGGAGGGAGGGGGGCCTGGAGAGAGGAGCTTCGTTGTGGGGACGTTGACTTTCAGAGTGATGATGCGGTATTGCAAGGGTTCTCAGGCGTCTGGAAACACGGGGTGGGGTGGGAGTGAGCCCTGCTGGCCGGAAGGGAGGTTTGAGAGGCGTGGCCGCAGGGACTGGGTGGGGGGAGACTGACGCGGGGTGGGAGGCCCCGTGGAGAACACTGCCTTCCTCCAGGGGAAGAAAAGGGACCAGGGGAAGGGAGCACGAGGGGAGGGTTCCTGACCGCACGGGGGCTGCAGCTGCTGCTGGCGCGCACTGGTCTGCGTCCTGGGGCGGGTGATGCTCCTTTTTGTTTTTGTTTTTGTTTAAGATTTAATTATTTGAGAGGCAGAGCTACAGAAAGAGAGAGAGGTTTTCCATCTGCTGGTTCATTCCCCAAATGGCTGCAGTCTTGGAGCTGGGCCGATGGGAAGCCAGGGGCTTCTTCCAGGTCTCCCACGAGGGTGCGAGGCTCAAGCGCTGGGCCGTCTTCCACTGCTTTTCCAGGTGCATTGGCCGGGAGCTGGATCAGAGCAGAGCAGCCGGGACTCGAACCTGTGCCCATATGGGATTTTGGCTCTGCAGGAGGTGGCTACAGTGCCACAGTGTTGGCCCCCAGATTCATACTTTTAAAAGGATATATACCCATGTACAAAATATAAATAATACCATAAAAATCACATGATTATGTAAAAATTTAAACCATGCAAGTAAATATTGAGAGGTTTATAAATATTAGATCTTTTTAAGTTTTACTTATTTATTTCAAAGGCAGAGTTACACAGAGAGAGAATGAGAGGCAGAGAGAGAGGTCTTCTATGTGATGGTTCACTCCCCAAAAGGCCGCAAGGCTGAAGCTGCACTGATGGGAAGCCAGGAGCCAGGGCTTGATTCTGGGTCTCCTACGTGGGTGCAGGGGCCCGAGGACTTGCTCCATCTGCTACTGCTCTCCCACGTCATTAGCAGGGAGGTGTATTGCAAGTCGAACAGCCGGGTCTCAAACCAGCACCCATATTGTGTGCTGGCATCTCAAAGGCGGCTGTACCTGCTACGCCGCGGCACAGGCCCCAGGGATATATTTTTAGAAGACACTGCAGTGAAGGGATTAAAGAGCCCTGACCGTGGAGGTGGGTGGCCTGAGGTCCGGTCCCCGCCCTGTCCCTTAGAAGCTGATTGCCGTGGCCGGGTCCCCTTGGCCTTGGCCTCCCCCACTGAGTGCTGGGATTACTGTTGCTGTGTGCCTGGCTTCCTGAGCCAGTAAAGCGGGCAGTGCCTCCCCGGGGAGGTCGCCCAGAGCAGCCGCACAAGTCTCACTGCTCGCCTTTCCTCCTTGCCTTGTTCAGAACCGGATTCCCGTCGGGGAGCAGCTGCAGGCGGTCCTGGGGAGCCCTGGGTACCAGCATCTGGGCGCGCTGCAGTCCCCAGCGGCTGCGGGAGCCCCCGCCAAGTCAGCGTGCACACCTGTGCCTGTCAGGACTGCACTGGCGCCCGGTGACACCGCGGGAAGCGCACAGGTGCACGGTGGAGAAAACGCGGCAGCCCTGGACGGGTGCAGAACGGAGCCCCAGAGGGGAAGTGGAGCCGCCAGGACTAGAACCGGCACCCACATGGGATGCCGGCACCACAGGGGGAGGCTGTACTACTGCACCACAGCGCCGGCCCTAATTGATGCCCTTTTGTGTCTCACACTGATGTCTTTGCTGAGGTCACACTGAGCTGCACGGTGCTTCAGGGGCACCTTGGGCGTCGGCACCGTGGCAGAAGACACAGGATGGAGATCGAGAACTGCACAGCTGCCCATTTGACAGCCAGAACCAGAGCAAGAACTGCCCACAGGACTCCTGGACTCCTGTTGCTGCGAGGAGGCGTGGCCACGACGGGGGGGGGGTGTGGCATCTCCCTGATCTCCCTGTGCACATGGTCCTGGCCCGTTTGTCCTGCTGCCACGTATCCTGGGTCTGCACCCGGGCTGACCGTGAGACAGAGGCACGTTTCCTGCGAGGATCTGAAGTGGACCCGCCCCGGGCTCAGCTCTGTCCTCTGAGAGGGGCCTGTAGAAGGTGAGACCCCAGGAACCTGAATCGTGACTTGACTTGACTTAAAAACTCGCTGGGAAAGTGAAAATTAAAACACCGGTAGTCTCCCAGCAAGACTGCGAAGAGAAAAGAGGAGATGCAGATTAGCAGCATCGGGCATGCGCAGATATCCCCGCCCCCTCCCGCTCGCTGAGCACGAGGCCCCCGAAAGGCTGGTAAGTGGGGGCGGGTCAGGGTCAGGCACCGTGGCCGAGTGCCGCTGGGATGTCCGCACATGTCGCAGTGTGGAGTTTGAGTCCAGCTCCGTTTCCAATCCGCCTCTCTCTTTATGTGCACCCTGGGAGGCAGCGGGGACTCGGCGGGGGACTGGCGGGGACTGGGCCGGCCACGCAGGGAACCTGGATTGAGTTCTGGGCTCCTGGGTTTGCCCTGAATCAGCCCTGGCTACTGTGGGCACTTGGGGGAGAAACTGATGGAAGCTGTCTCTCTGTGTCTGTTCTCTGCTTTCAAATAAGTAAATTAAAAAAAAAATAAAGATAAGGGGTTATTCCAAGCAATTTTATGTTCGTAAGTTTGACAGATTAGAGGAAATGAATTGATTTCTGGAGAATTACCAGTTATCAAACAGCCAACGTGAAAGAGTGCTGGAGTAGTCGTAACCACTGAAAACACTCGATTTGTATCTAGAAAGCTTGTGACCAAGAAATATCCAGGCCCAGACGACTTCACTGGAGAATTCCACCAAACATTTAAAAGCGCCAGTTTTCCATACTTCCAAAATATAGGAGGGAAGACTTCCCAGTTTATTTTATTTATTTGTTCATTGTTATTCATTTTACTTGAAAGGCAAAGACAGAGCTCTGCTGTCTACTGGTTGCGCCCCCAGGTGTCTGTGAGGATGGAGCAGACAACAGGAGCTGGGGGCTCAATCTGGGTCTCCCGCCCGGATGGCAGGGACCCAGCCACCATAGCCATCTCCCGCCTCCTGGGTGCGCGTTAGCAGGAAGCCGGCCTTCAACCCAGCTACTCCAGTATGGAACATAGGAATCCTAAGGGGCTTTTTCACCACTATGCCAAACCTCTACTCTCGACCTCACTTTATGAAGCCGGTATTTGATACCAGAACAAGACTACCCTAAAGAAACTGAAGTACATAAAAATATGTGTAAAATATGCAAGCCTATAGAAATAATTATGAAGTGCATAAATTATTAAAGTATATAAATTTACTACAGGATTTATGGACTGAGAATTATAAAACACTGATGAATGAAATCGAAGAAGACATTCGAACAGTGCAGAAACAAACTGTGCTCATGAAATGAAAGACCCAACATAATAGAAATTTCAATTCCCCCACATTGATATGAGTATATAGGTTTTTTTCATTTATTTGAAAGGCAGGAGAGATTATCTGTTCCTCTAGTTCATTCCCTAAACGCCTGCAACAGCCAGGGCTGGGGCAAGCTGAAGCGAGGAACCAGGAACCAATCCTGGCCTCACATGGATGTCGGGAACTGAGTACTTGGCTCTTACCTGCCACCTCTACAGGAGGCTGCGATTGGGTGCAAACTGCAACCAGCAGGTGCGTGCTCCAAAAAGGGACGCAGGCATCTTCACCTGCAGGTCAAACAGCAGCCCTACTGCGTGGTTTTCAGACACAGCTACGGTATTCGTGGTTTTCAGACACAGCTATGGTATGCGTGGTTTTCAGACACAGCTACAGTATTCGTGGCTGCGGCACTGGCAGAGGTACAGACTTGGAGATCAGCAGCACAGAGGGCACACAACCTCCTGGTTTTTGACAAACGTGATTGGATGAGGAAGGATTAGAGTCTTCACATGTGATGCCAGAGTAATTGGGCATCCACAGGCCTAAACCTCACATCCTTAACTCTAAATGGGTTACAGACTAGAATGTAAATACTGGACTGTAAAACCTCTCTACTAATGCATGGAAGAGACTCTTACTAGATACTTAGGACCAGGACCAGCGTTCGTAGATATAACACCAAAAGCACGACCTATACAATGAAAAATTGATATGTTGGACCCCATAAAAATTGAAAACCTGGTGTTGGTGTTGTGCAAGGCGAGTGAAACCGCTGAGTGCGACGCTGTCATCCCATATGGGCAGTGGTTCGAGCCCCGGCTGCTCCACTGCTGATCTAGCTTCCTGCCAATGTTGGGAAGGCAGCGGAAGGTGGCCCAAGTGCTTGGGCCCTGCACCCACATTGGCTCCTGACTCCTGGCTTCGGATCGGCGCAGCGTGCCGTCCGTAGTGGGCCGGCCGTAGCGGCCACTTGGGGGGTGAACCAACAAAAAAAGGAAGACCTTTCTGCCTCTCTCTCTCACTGTCTTAACTCTGCCTGTCAAAAAAAGAATTATTTATTTATCTGAAAGAGTTATACAAAGAGAGAAGGAGAGGCAGAGAGAGAGAGAGAGAGAGGTCTTCCATCCGCTAGTTCACTCTCCAGTTGGCCACAACAGCCAGAGCTGCACCCATCTGAAGCCAGGAGCTTCTCCTGGGTCTCCCACGTGGGTTCAGGGGCCCAAGGACTTGGGCCATCCTCTACTGCCTTCCCAGGCCATAGCAGAGAGCTGGATCGGAAGTGGAGTAGCCAGGACTCGAACTGGCGCCCATATGGGATGCAGGCACTGCAGGCGGCAGCTTTACCTGCTACGCCACAGTGCCGGCCCCAAGGCAGAAGCTTTTATTTGATAGAAAAGTGTCTGATCCGAGAGGAGACCAGTGGAGTGCCCGAGGAAGGGTCCGGGTGTTTAAGGTGTTACTGTCTGTTCATCGGGTCATCCTATTGGGGGTGCCCATTGGACGGGGGTTTCACATATGTAAGCTGGTTGGCTTGGGACTCATGCAGATGGGGGGGGGTCTCTTAGAGACAGCCAGCCCCTCCTCTGACCGCTCTGGGTGAAAGATTGCCCCCACCCTGAAGATATGTGTGGGGAGCAACTCGGACTAGACTAAGTTACTGGAATTAAGACTTATTCTATGCATCTGCTCTCCCACAATATGGCGCTGAGAAGGGAGAAACAGCTTCTACACAGCTGCCTCCAGTTCAACCAATAAACTGTAGGACCTGCTCCTGATTGGAGGAGAGCAGCGTACTCGGCGTGTGGGTAGCAGAGTTGGGATTGGTGGAAGAGGACTATAAAGGAGGAGAGAGACAACATGCACGAGGAACATCTAAGGGGGAACATCTATCTGAAGGAACACCTGTGCAGCCCCCGAGAGAGCCGGCCGGCGGTGTGCCGCTCCCCTGCAGAAGTGGGGAAAGTGGCAGGGGGAACCGCCCTTCCACGGAGGTGGAAGGGTCGGTAGCCAACCCGGGAAGGGCCGAGCAGACAAAAGAACAGCGCAGGGTCCTGTGTCATTCCTCCACGAAGAGGGGGAGCGACATAATGGTGCCGTGACTCGGATATGAAGCCTAGGCAGGGCTTAGTGTCGTTCCTCCATGAAGAGGGGGAGTGACAATGTGACTTACACACGCAGCACAAAAAGTGGGGGAGATGCCAGCCACTTTGGAGACAGGCTTTCCAGCCACAGCTGGGGGCTGCTTCTGTCTGAGGGCCCCCCACCCCCACCCCCCGGACGGCCTCAGCTGTGGAGGAAATTCCTCCCAGTGTGCAGAGGACCTCCAGGGCCACCCACCGTGTGATTCCATTTACCTAATGTTCTCGAAGGACAGAAGCTGCAGAGACGGAGAGACTAGTGCTGCCCAGTTTTGGGGGCAGAGGGTGTTGGGGAACTGTTTGTGATAATAAAGGGGTAGCAGGAAGGAGATTTCTGTCACGAGGGATTAGTTCTTGCACTTAACTGTGATGGTGTTTGTGTTTCCGTGTATACGTGTGGACACTGAGCTGTCCACACATGTTGCACTAACCTCAGTGGCCTGGTCTTGATAGTCTTCACATTCTTCAAAACGACGGGGCTGGGGCTGGTGGTACAGCGTGGCAGCTAAGCCTCCGCCTGCGGTGCTGGCATCCCGTACAGGCTCCAGTTCATGTCCCGGCTGCTCCACTTCTGATCCAGCTGCCTGCTAATGGCCTGGAAAAGCAATGGAAGATGGTCCGAGTCCTTGGGCCCCTGCACCTGTGTGGGAGACCTAGAAGAACCTCCTGGCTCCCAGGAATCGGTCCAGCTTCAGCTGAGTGGCCATTTGGGGAGTGAACCAGCGGATGGAAGACCTCTCTGTCTCTAACTCTACATCTAAAATAAATGAAATATTTAACAGAAAATAACTGGGGACTGCAAACACTTCTGTTTATATAGACAACATAAAAATATTGGTTTAAAAATAACACAGTCCATTACATATTAACATACATGATGGTTTATGAACAACCTAATATTCTAACGAAAAGGTTAATGAGAACGGTTTTGTTTTGTGCAAATTCGTGTTAGCTTTTGGCTGGATGCACATACTTGTTGTACTACAACATGTGCAATGAAATACAGAACACAGAGGTACTGAAAACAAACAGTTAATCCCTCGGAAGGTGTATGTCTCTGCACTAACCCTGCTACCTTAGGAAACCCTAGAGAAAAGTACACAGTGCAGACTGTGCCAGCGGGCAGAGCAGTCCACCGCACAGGGCGGAGCCTCCTGGGAGACGCCACTCAGTCATGGGAGTCATGGGAGTGGGTGTGGAAGAGTCAAGCAGCACCATGGTATCCAGACAACAACCCTCTAGACTTCACTGTCTGAGAGCCACGTTCTGAGGTGCGCTGTTCCCGCGCTCCTAGTGAACTTAGGAACTGGTCTGCCTCTGGTTGTCATTCCAGTTTGCCCTTTTAGTAAGGATGTTTATATGAGAAAAGAGAAACTTCAGATCGTACGGTTCCTTGGGGAAGTACTACCCATGCTGAGTTCTCAAAAATGCCCAAGACCGGTTTTCGTTTGGAGCTCAAAATCAGGAAGACCCTTTGTAAAGACGGTTCTGTAAGGGTTCACCTTCACTTTTATATTCTCATTTCAGTCATATTCTAAGAGGTAACGATTGAGGAAATCAGAATACGTTGGAGACTACGTGTTGTGTGTGTGTGCGTGGTGGAACCTGGACAGGTGTCACACGGAGACAGAACAGTTGTGCAGGCACATCTCAGCCGTGTGTGTTGACTGCTTGTCCATATGGCCTCGGGTTTTTCACACACTTTTAGGGAAAATTGATTCATTTTATTTTATTTTTAGAATGGAAACACAGCCTGTTTGCTCCTACTTGGAGAAGATTCTTTCCAAAAACATGGAGCTGATGGAAAAGAAACTCATGGACTACATTGACGAGCGGGTGCGCAGACTGCAGGAGCACGTGGACCGCCAGCTGGCCGTGGTGGTGGAGCTGCCGCAGAGCCCCAGCGCCCCGCCTGCCGGGCTGCCTCTGCCGCGCTGCGACTCTGGGGAAAGACTTTCCAATGGAGAGCGATGAGCGCTGTCCTACACGCCGTGTCCCGGGGGTATTTATTGCGTATTTATTGCAAAGCCAGACCCAGCGCCCTGAGAGGCAGGTGTTCAGAGTCCTCTGAAGGATCGCCGTCTTGCCTAACGTGACCTCAGTGTCCATCTGCGCCGCGCCCGTCACTGCAAATCCAGTTGTGTACACTAGGAGTTCACACGATGCGGTCATGAAGGAGGTTTGTGTGCGATATTTCTCACTCTTACAGGAATTTATACATGCCTCTGATGTTTAAGTGTTTAATGTGTTTAAGGATTTCTACTGTAATTCATTAGTTTGCATTGTATATGTGTTTTTATTTTTTTTTTTTTTATTTTTTTGACAGGCAGAGTGGACAGTGAGAGAGAGAGACAGAGAGAAAGGTCTTCCTTTTGCCGTTGGTTCACCCTCCAATGGCCGCCGCGGCTGGCGCGCAGCGGCCAGCGCAACGCGCTGATCCGATGGCAGGAGCCAGGTGCTTCTCCTGGTCTCCCATGGGGTGCAGGGCCCAAGCACTTGGGCCATCCTCCACTGCACTCCCTGGCCATAGCAGAGAGCTGGCCTGGAAGAGGGGCAACCGGGACAGAATCCGGCGCCCCGACCGGGACTAGAACCTGGTGTGCTGGCGCTGCAAGGCGGAGGATTAGCCTAGTGAGCCGCGGTGCCGGCTATATGTGTTTGATTAAAGTGAATTTCTTATTTATATAAAGACCTTACTTTATAGTCTTAGGCACCTGAAAAATAGAGCTTGAAAGTATTTGATTTTTTTCTTATTGTTTTTTGGAAAATTGGATATGTAAGAGTTGGAATCTTTAATTTGTATTGTATATCTGAGATAATGAATAAGATGCATTTTTTTTTTGACAGATAGAGTTAGACAGAGAGAGAGAGAGACAGAGAGAAAGGTCTTCCTTCTGTTGGTTCACCCCCCAAAATGGCCGCTACGGCCGGAGCTGCACCGACCCGAAGCCAGGATCCAGGTGCTTCCTCCTGGTCTCCCATGCAGGTGCAGGGCCCAAGCACTTGGGCCATCCTCCACTGCCTTCTCGGGCCACAGCAGAGAGCTGGACTGGAAGAGGAGCAACCAGGACTAGAACCCGGCGCCCATATGGGATGCCTGTGCCGCAGACGGAGGATTAACCAAGTGAGCCAAGCGCCGGCCCCAAGACGCAGTTTGTTTAACAAGCAAACTCAGTTCCTGCCGGGGCCATTAATACTTACTTCGCAGTGTCGCTGTGGAAAGGAAAGTGAAAGTCAGAATCCACTCCTTCCTAGGACTGCTCCTTGTTGGAATTCCGTGCGGTTTGGGTTGTTATGCAGAATGGGCACAGTCGTAAGTCTCGGAGGCGGCAGGTTGGACTCCTCTCCCGTGTTCACAGTGGGACGGCCGGGCTCTGCGGGAGGAGCTGTAGGATTCCAGGAAGTTGCCTGGAAGACTCCATTTTCAGAACTCGTGACTTGCATGTGTGTTGAAGGTGAGATATTTGTCGAAAAATAAATGCACGTACGCCTCACTTGTAGGGTAATTCTTGCTTAAAATGTTTTATTTCTTAGAAAAGCATGTCATACACATTATTTTCTGGCAAATTTGTTTTCAAAACCAGGCCTCATTTGCATACTGCTTGTTCATTTCTGTCCCATAAAGGTGATCAGCGTGAAGCCACTGTGGTCACCCTTGACGAGCCACTGTTCCTGGGCAGTCGTGACGCACACAGCTGTATGGCGATCCTTTGTCCCGGAGCAGGCGGTCTCGCTGAGGGCTCACCCCGTCAGCTGACCCCACGGCTTCTGTGGTGCGGCCTGTTCCCCGAGCCACAGGCACGGCTGTGAATGCAGACCGTCAACCCAGTCCGAGTTCTTTTGCTGTGTCCCGATGCTTACATGCCACAGCGGGGAAGCACAGTCGTTTCTCAAAGAAATGTTTGGCACTGTGAGGTTTGCTAACTGTGGTTTCCCTACGGGCTCTGAGGACTGCGTGCATTGAATACTCAGAACGGTGCCGGCACACCAGACGGAACGTTGATTAGTTTAGTGTTTGTGCTAAAACGCAGAGACAAAAATGTCCCCCAAAGCGTATCTATTTCAAATGGCCGGTTTAGTTTGGTCCCCCGGTGTGAAATAGAAAAGGTGTGAAATTCAAGTATTATAGCAAGGCTTTTCCCAATTTTTAACAGTGTTTTCCATGGTTGTAAAACGCGTTTGGTCAATTGGGAAAATTTCCTCCTTGAAGTTGGAAGAAGATGGTTTTCTACTGTGGAATTTCTATAATTACATCCACTCACAAATTTTCAAATTTGCAACTCCATCATATAACCCTTTGTAGTGAATGTGCTTATAAAATTGAATAATTATTAAATAATAAATTTATTAAATATAAATTAAATAGGAATTTAATTTTGTTTTCTTTATTTTCTAAAGATTTATTTTATTTATTTGAAAGAGTTACAGAGAGAGGTAGAGACAGAGAGAGAGGTCTTCCATCCGCTGGTTCACTCCCCAAATGGCTGCAACAGCCAGAGCCAGGAGCTTTGTCCAGGTCTCCCACGCAGGTGCAGGGCCCCAAGCTCTTGGGCCATCTTCCGCTGCTTTCCCAGGTGCATTAGCAGGGTGCTGGATTGGAAGAGGAGCAGTGGGGACTCGAACCAGTGTCCATATCGGATGCCAGTGCAGTAGGCTGGGGCCTTAACCCGCTGCGCCCCCTCATTTTTGTTTCTTTAAAGAAAGAGCAGTTTTAGGTTCACAGTAAAATTGAGAGAACAGTGCAGAGTCCCTGTATGAGCTTTGCCGCCACCCGGGCACAGCCCGGCCCACTGAACGCTGGCGCCCAGCCCAGCCCACTGAAGCCCGGCCAGACCTACTGAATGCCCACACGCACGCAGCCCTTCCCACCACAAACACCCGCGCACGGCCCTACCCACTGCGAACGCCTGCGCAGCCCGACCCACTGAACACCCCTTTGCAGGCTGACTCCCCTCACTTAGCGCGCACTACATTTCCTCCATGGCTTGAGGGCTCATTTATTATTGTTTGGGTTTTGCCATAGAAATAATGTGTTACGAGCCAGAATCCTACTCATACAAATAATAAAGTCAGGGATCACAGAACTTCTTTATACCGGAATCATTTCCACCTAATACATTGCTGTAAAGAGTTTTATTTCCTTGTGGCTTATCCTTAAAAACCTAACAAGCGCCACGCATTCCAGCCGGAGGCTCGGATCAGGAGGAGAAAACGACTCAAAGGAGCCAAGGTAGAGTTGTCCCTTGAGCAAGCTGACCCTCCGCTCTGGAATTCACGTTCCCTACTTTCTGAAAAGAAGCGAGATCGGGGCTGTGCTGTGGGGTAGAGCCGCTGCCTGCAGTGCCTCAGCCCGTAGGGGCGCCGGCTCCTGTCCTGGCTGCCCCACTTCTGGCCCAGCTCCCTGACAGCTCCCAGTCTGCTTCTGGAAGGAATGAGGCATTTCTTCCACAGATGTAAGGCTGGCTGTGTCTTTGGAAACCACTGATCTCGAAGCGGGTTGACCTTCAAGAGGAGCCACTGCACTGCGTTCAGGTTGTTTAGCAGCCAGAGGAAGAACGTGAAGTGTGTGTCTGTGTCTGGGACACTCTGAACCCATCATGAAAACATCCTCCTTCCCCTTTTAGGTTCTAACCTCGACTCCCCGGACCCCTGCAGCTTTTTACATCCTAATTAACAAAAGCTAACTGCTGATGTTGTCATTAATCAGAAGGTTGGCTCAACAGATCAATGGGGATTGCTTAAGAATTCCAGGGGCTGGACCTCTATCTGTGGCGCCAGCATCCCATGGGAGCAAGCACCGGTTCGATTCCTGGCTGCTCCACTTCCAATACAGCTTCCTACCGATGTGCGTGGGAGGGCCGTGGAAGATGGCCCAAGTCTGCGGGCCCCTGCACCCACGTGGAAGACCCAGATGAAGCTCCTGGCTCCTGGCTTTGGCCTGCAACCCCATCCTGGTGTCCCACGTGGGTGCAGGGGCCCAAGCGCTTGGCCGTCTGCTGCTGCTTTCCCAGGCACGTTGTCAGGGAGCTGGATCGGAAGCAGAGCAATCAGAATTCAGATCACTGCCCCGATATGAGGTGCTAGCAACTCAGGTTGTGGCTCAACCCACTGTACCCCAGTGCCAGCCCAACAGCCAGACTTATGTGAAAGGAGCCTCCACCTGTTGGCATCAAGAGGAGTACGGACACTACCCCTGAGAACCTGCTTGACGAATCAGCTGAACCGTCATCTTCCCTAGCCTCCCCCAGTCCCCTCTTCTCCTTTTAAAAACCCTCCTGCCAGCTCGCAAATTGGGAAAAGTACTTTTGAGACTGGAAGTGTCTGCTTCTCTCCAAGTTTGCTGGCCTTTCAAATGCACCTGTTTCCTTGCATCCGCTCTTCCCTCTGGGGAACCTGCTGTCCAGTGGTGAACAGCCCTGGCTTAATTTTAATGGCATCAATTTCACTTAACATGATGGCTCCCGATTCTATCTGTTTTGCTGAAAGTGACAGGATTTCATTCTTTTCTATGGATGCATAATATCCCCCTGTGTATGTACCACATTTCCTTTATCCATTCATCTGGTTGTGTACAGTTATCTAATTGATTCCATATCTCAGCTGTTGTGAACGGTGCTGGAATAAACATGGTGGAGCAGGTGTCTCTCTGATACAATTTCATGTCTCGTGAATGTACTCGAAGTGATGACCAGAGGCTGGGAGGGGCAGGAGGGTGAGAAGGAATCTGGATAATGGATCAAAGGAGTAAGGTCCTAGTTCTACACAGCTTTGTGGGGTGACAGTAGTTCACAATAACCTGTTTTATGAGCAGATAGAAAAAAGGGTGTCAAGGCTGCAGTCGTAAAGCAAGGTCAAGGAAGGGGAGGTGTTGATGACCCTGGTTTGATCAGGACACATTGTATATATATGTGTATATATGTATATATGTGGATATATGTATATACAATTGTATATATGTATTGAAATGTAGCACTGCAACCCAGAAATATGCTGGGAAAGGTTTTTGAAAAAAGTTTTTTAGATTTACTTTTATTTGCTAGCCACAAGAGCCAGGGCTGGGACAGACCAAAGCCAGGAGCCAGGAGCCTCTTCTGGGTCTCCCTTGTGGGTGCAGGGGCCCAAGCACTTCCCAGGCCGTTAGCAGGGAGCTGGATCAGAAGTGGGGCAGCCGGGACTTGACCCGGTGTTCAGATGGGATGCCAGCGTCACAGGCGACGGCTTTACCTGCTACACCACGCCGGTCCAGGTAAAAAAAAAAAAAATTCATGTTATAAGACAGGTGTTTTTAAAACATACACATACAAAATGTTCAAGAGGAAATTCAAGCCAGCGCCGCGGCTCACTAGGCTAATCCTCTGCCTTGCGGCGCCAGCACACCGGGTTCTAGTCCTGGTCAGGGTGCCGGATTCTGTCCCAGTTGCCCCTCTTCCAGGCCAGCTCTCTGCTATGGCCCGGGAGTGCAGTGGAGGATGGCCCAAGTGCTTGGGCCTTGCACCCGCATAGGAGACCAGGATAAGTCCTGGCTCCTGCCTTCGGATCGGTGCGGTGCACCGGCCGTGGCGGCCATTGGAGGGTGAATCAACGGCAAAGGGAAGACCTTTCTCTCTGTCTCTCTCTCTCTCACTGTCCACTCTGTCAAAAAAAAAAAAAAAAAAAAAGGAAATTCAAGTAGAAAATAGCTATTTCATGATGTAAGAACACATGATAGAATATCAGGTTTAAGGCTTTCTAACAAAGCTTTTATCAGCCTAAATAAGATTTCACTTTTAAAGTGTTTTGTTTTCACAAAACATACATGAGATTAATTTTATTTCCGTCAGTCAGTGATAAAGGTCACACTTTAAGCATAATATACGTTGATAATTTACCATGAGCTATGTGGCTTTTGGTTTGGAATGTACTGTTTTTATTATTGAAACCAATACCTAACTATTTCCTTGTATTATAGGCAAATTATTACCAGGTAACTGACTTAGAAGTGATGTACTTTAGTGCCTAAAGTAGTAATAACATAAACCAGGATCCCACTCAAGAACTTGTTCTAAAATGGAGCAATGCAAGCTTTCTTAAGACAGGACAATCTTGCTTATTTTAAGGTTTATTTATTTATTTGGAAGTCAGAGTTACACAGAGGAAGAGACAGAGAGAGATCTTCCATCTGCTAGTTCAAACCCCAGATGGTCACAATGGCCAGGGCTGAGCCAGGCCAAAGCCAGGAGCCAGGAGCTTCATCCAGTCTCCCACAAGGGTAGCAGGGCCTCAAGCACTGGGGCCACCCTGTGCTGATTTCCCCAGGTTCATCAGCAGGGAGCTGGATCAGAAGTGGGGCATCAGGGACTCGAACTGGCACTCACATGGGATGCGAGTGCCGCAGCCGCGGCTTAACCTGCTATGCCACAGCACTGACCCCTAAATAAATCTTTTTTAAAAATAAAGTTCACTGCAGAGGAGCAGTGGCGAGTAGGCCAGGTATTAGCTGAGGATTGCAGTCGAGGAGAAAAACCTGAGGCCCACTGATGCCGGCTTAGGGGCTTTTCCAGCACTAGTGATTTATTCCTTCCTGGGGATTTCGGGAGCCTCCTTATGGCCGGGGGCCCAGGGAACTTCTCGGTTCAGTTGTAACAATATTGAGGAGGTGATGCCGAGTGTCCTGCCAGGAGCTTCTTCCGAGTCTCCCATGCGGGTCCAGGGTCCCAAGGACTTTGGCCATCTTCCACTGCTTTCCCAGGCCACAAGAGAGCTAGATTGGAAGAGGAGCAAGTGGGATTCAAACCAGCGCCCATATGGGATGCCGGCACTGCAGGCAGAGGATTAACCTACTGCACCACCGTGCTGGCCCCCCAAAGATTTTTTAGAGAAACTAAGTCTTCAGTTAAGATTAACGTGGGCTAAGCCTTTGCATCTGTTCCTTTTACAAGACAGCAACCTTCTCTGAAGCTGAATTTGAGCCTGCATTAAATTAGGAAACCAACTCCGGTACTTTCATTGTGGTCTTGCTATCATTGATGTGTGAGTATACTGGGGCAGTTTAAACCCATCTGCTTTTAGGAAAAACGGAAAGAGCCAGAGCCTTCTCACAGCCTCCACTCCTGAGAGGCGTGGGGACCTCCGGTTTTTATGCAGATCCAAGTTTCATATCCACCCGGGCAGATAAGATCCTGGCCATGTGCAGGGAGACGTGTCCGCTCCAGCCACCCAGGCGCGAACTTCCATGAGAACCTAGCAGCCAGGAGACTGGACTGTGACCAACAATCCCCAACAGCCGGTCTGTGTCCCTGACCCCTTCCAGGAGGGTCTGCAGCCGGGCCCAGCTAAAGCTTGGCACGGGGACCCCCAGCAGCTGGCCCACGCAGGCCCTGGGAAATTGTTCGCAGGACTGAGCCTTTGCCTGGACAGTGACGACGCTGACTCCTTAGGCCTCCACAGTCCTCCAAGAATGGAAGCCATTCGAGTCCCAGGACTGCAGGGTTGGGGAGGCAGGGGTGGCACAGGCACTCTGGGTCCAGCCGGGTCACTCAGGCATCCCGCCAGGTGCTCACCTGAGCGGGAGGGGGAGGAGGAGTCCACTGTCCCTGCTGACCAGTGTGTGCTCCGAGAGGCTCCGCGGAAGGAGCCAGGACACAGGGGGCTGCAGAGCAGAAGCACTGCCCCCGCTGTGGTCAAGGGAGCCTGGGCTTTCGCCTTGGGCTGGAGGTCCCCGGGACACTGCAGACACGAGTGGCCAGGTCAGCACAGGTCACGTCAGGGCGAAGGCAGGCGTGACCAGGAGGGATCGCAGGTCTTCTGAGTTCTCTTGAGGACGCTGAGCTCAGCCCCATCAGGACCGGGGCAGACCATTTTCACCAGAGATGTCCTGCCTGCCTGACCTCCGTCTCGCCCAACCCATGGCGCCCCCTTCAGGACAACGCAGCACTGTCTGCAGGGAGGAGCTGGGTGGGGCGCAGGAGCCCGGCGCTCCACCCCAGCCTGGCACCGTTGGCCAGGGCTCAGACTGCAAACGCCCCAAGACCAACAGGGACTGTCTTCGCGGGCTCTCCTTCTTCCTGGCAGCGTAATGGCCCCAACACCTTGCTCCAGGTCCTCGTGGGTAACGCGTACTCTTGAACAGGGATGTTGACAGCGAATGCGACACTAGACACAGGTTCTCTTTAATACCATACATTTACTCAAAAGCACATAAAATAACATTGTACAGAAATCGTGTGATGTAAATACTACAGAACCTGATTGGATAGTAGGACATTCTAATAAGAGGGAAATACTGCTCATGAAGATTTTAGTGCCCACATTTCCCGAGTCAGAGTCCCTCGTTGGTTGCACACGAGCAAGGTGGCAGGGGATCGAAATCTGTATACATGCTACTGTTGTCACAGCATGGGAAGGCACGACAGGAATCCGTGGGGTTGGTTTTTCCTGGGAAGACCTTGGTTGAATGCTTGGTTCCACAAACAGCAGGTTCCTTTGCAGCTCTAGGGAAACGACAAACACAAAGTCGGGGTCAGAATTTTTCTTTCCTCCCAGCCTCTCTGACAATTCTCAGGGTGGCAGGGAATTCAGGGCTTCAGCCCGCCAAGCAGGCGCCACCAGCCCTAGGTTAAAGCTCTCTGCCTCTGTGCCAAGTTCCCTCGGTCCCCTCCCCTCCTACGATGCTGTGCAGGTAAACTCAGGTTCCGAAAGCAAGGGAGAGCGGGTTGCCAGCCAGGGGCAGCCTGCTGTGCGAGCAGGGATGAGGGGAAGGTGCTGCAGACGGCTCTGCCCGGGCTCCGGGGTTCACCACCCGGCTCCCTGCAGCGGGACACGGCTGCTCCGACAACCAACGTCGCCCACGCCTGCAAGCTCCTCTCCCCTAACGCTGGACATCTCTCAGCTGACCTACCGCCTCTCCGGCTGTCCTCTATAGGACGTCTGTCCTTACGGGCCCACCTCACCGTCCCCAGGAACGCTGGCCGTGAGCAAGGAACGCCCTGGGAGCTCCCAGCTGGGGCGAGAGGTCAGTTCGCCCACCCCCTGCGTGAACAGGCAGCAGAGGCTCACGCCCACAGCATCCCCCAGGGAGGGTTCAGGCTCCAGCGCCCAGGACGGGGGAGGCTCGGCCACGGCCCGAGTTCATCACCTGACAGAGACCCAGTGAGGTCCGGTGACAGCAAAGCAGCGCTGATGCACTGCCCCCGGCGGGGGACACTCTGTGGTCGAGCTCAGGCGCCCAAGTCAGGGGGGAGGCAGCCCGAGACCCCACCCGCCCTGCGTTGGCCTCTCCCGACTGCTCTTGTGAGCTCAGCCAGGGGGAGGTCACAGCTGCAAGCAGCGACCCTGGCCAAGCAGCGAGCCCAGGGCCCCGTGAGGGGGCGCTGTCCACTCCCACCCATGTGACTCACTTCAGCGCGTTGGACACTTTGATGTAAAGGCCGATGACAACCCCTATCAGCACCACGGCGGCCAGCAGCAGGCTGCTGCCAATGCCGATCATCACCTTGGTCTTGAGGTCAAACATCTTTTCCCGACCTGGCAGAGAGAGGCAGGCAACAGTGAACGCAGCCGCCCTGTCGCGCAGCCACAAGCAGCCCAGGGTGCGTCCCAAGGGTCCCACAGAGCCTTCCTTCCCTGTGTAGACCGTGACTCTGCCTCCCAGGGGCGGGTAAAGGGGTTCATTTGTGGATGACAAGGGATGGCAATGTGGGTGCAGGAAGGAGGAAGCAGTGGCACAGACATGGGGAGAACCTTCACCTTCCACGGGCAGTGGCATGCACCCCAAGTATCAAATGGGCTTGCGTTTATTTCCTGATAGGAATAGAAATCACTCGTCACCTAATTGGGAGTTGGCAGGAGGCGGCACTGTGGGCTAAGCTGGCACCACAAGGTCAGAATACCCTGAGTGCCCGTTCACGGCTCCCCGCTAACGAGCCTGGGAAAGCAGACGATGGCTCACGTGCTCGGGCCCCGACAGGTAACGTGGGAGACCCGGATGGAGGTTGGGTTTTAGTCTGCCCCAGCCCTGGCCATTGCAGCCATTTGGGGAATGAGCCGAAATTGGAAGATCTCTGTCACGCTGCCTTTCAAGTAAATACATCTTAAGAAAAATACTTAATGAGCCTATGGGGGCTGGTGCCTTGGTGTAGTAGGTTAAGCCTCTGTCTGTAGTGCCAGCACCCATGTGGGCGCCGGTTCTAGTCCAGGCTGCTCCAATTCCCATCCAGCTCCTTGCTAATGGCCTGGGAAAGCAGTGGAAGATGGGCCAAGTGCTCGGCCCCCTGCACCCACGTGGGAGACCCAGAAGAAGCTCCTGGCTCCGGATCAGCCCAGCTCTGGCCACTGCGGCCATTTGCGGAGTAAACCAGTGGATGGAAGGCCCCCCCACCCCCAAATCTGCCTCTCAAATAAACAAATGGTTTTTTTTTTTTTAAATGAGACTAAGGAACTTCATTTTTTCCCCCAAAATGTTAAGAACACTGAGAATACGCAGACCTTTTGTAACTGACTTGCGTTTGGGGAAAGCAGGTTATCAGCCTCCCACTGACAGCCGGGTCCTGCCAGCGCCGGCTCTAGGGAGAATCCACCAGCGTCCAGCCACACCCTGGTCCAGGCTCAGCAGGGGATGGCCTTCGAAGACCAGAGCCCAGCCCCGAGGAGCCTCTAGTCCTCGTTCCGACTTTCTAGTAGCCCACAAGTCTCCTTGCTATGTGCTTCCTCCTAACAAAATCCTCCAGGAAATCCGAATCGCGTGGAATCAGCAGTTTCCTTAGTTGAACAGTGAGCTAGGAGAGCACAGACAATCCGCCCTCTAAGCATGTTTACTAAGGTCAGCCCTCCAGAGCTGGACTGAGACCATTTCGCCCTAAAAAATACTCTACATTGGGAGAAGTTAGATTGCCACCCGCCTCACCAGCCCCCTAACAAATACTTTCTTTCTAAGGCAGATACAGCCCCCCCCCCCGCAGCCCCCCCCCAATGGCCCACCCTTAGGGAAAGGAAAGAGCTTCCCCCCCACCGAGCCCCCACCCCAAAGACACCCTTTCGGAGGAGCGCAATTTCTCCCCCCCCCCCCCCGAGCCCCAACCCATGGACGCACCTTCAGGAGACGGGAGATTCTATCAGGAACTTCTGAGCCCTGCACTTTGAGAGAGGAGGCGCTAGCAGTCCCGCTGGGAAGAAGTGGGATCCAGAGTCGAGGCGCTGGCTTCTGGGAGCGCGGTCTCGTGCTACCCCCGCAGGGCGCACTCACTCGCCTTCCATGCTGCAGGCTGTGTGACGTCAGCTCTCCTGCCGCCTGCCTCACAGAGTTCTGAATTCTCCTCTGTGCCCAAGTCTCTTAGCTCCCACGGAACAGAAACAGCGCGTCCAATCGCTTAATTCTACATCTCTGCCTTCTCAGCTCTCATTTCCTCCAGTAATTTTCGGGGTCTGACTGCTAATCCAAAACTGGTGTAAGAGTTCAATTTAAAAGACACAGAAATGTGGGGATGCTACAAATTAAAAGTTAAATATTACAGAAGGTGGGGTACCTTTTTATGTTAGTTACACAATGAACATGGAGCCATTAATTAGGATCCAAGCACACATTCAGTGACCACGGAAGATGTTCATACTTTACAGTTAAAAGGGTTACAAAAACAAAAGGCGACTAGGATACCTGTTCTACTTAGGTCTGTATGATTTTACGGGACTTAAAATCCAGCCAATGAATGGAGTACGTCCCAGCTGGTATTTACAGTGAAGTTAAAACAGGAGACTCCAGGTCCAGAGAAGGTGGTGTAGACGCCTTTCGTCTGCTCCCCGCTGCTGAGTGTAAATATAATCCCCAGAAATAACCCAGAAGTCTAAGGAGAGCTCTGTTCACAAATGAACTCTACAGTCTAGTTCTCCTGTTAAAGAACTAGATTCACCAAAATATCAAGAATACAAAGTGTCCCTTTTCATAAAAATGAACATCTTAAGTTAGATGAGAGACAGGTGTTTCCTGGAGCGGTTAAGACGCTGCCTGGGAAGCCTGCCCCCACCGGAGTGCCTGGGCTGGAGCTCTGGCTCCACTCTGACTCCAGCCTCGAGTGCCCACCTGCAAGGCAGCAGCTAATGGCTCAAGCACCTGGATCCTGCCACGCACGGGGTGACCCGCACTGAGCTGTGGACCCTGGATCCTGCCACGCACGGGGTGACCCGCACTGAGCTGTGGACCCTTGGCTTTAGCCTGGCCCAGCTCTAGCTATTGTGGGCATTTGGGGAGTGAATCAGCAAAAAGGGAGACCCCCCTCTCTCTATCTCTGTGTGTCTCTATGCCTTTCAAATAAATAAAAAATAAAAACTTAAAAAAAGAAAAAATACCTACTTCAGACAAGTAGTTTCCAGAGTACATGTTTTTATTTATAGATGCAAAATACATCACCCTTCCACACACACGGCAGCTGTAAGCTCTGCACGTGAACCCTGACAGGGAACCCCGATCTCCCGACTCACAGCCTCTGTCCCTCAGCGGAGGGCTCCAGCCTGCCAGGCGCTGAACCAGCCCAGAAAGGGACAGGGGAACCCGCCGGCTCAGAAAGGGGTATTTAGTAAACACACGTCCAAAGCTACAATCCTAACAAGGAACAGGCCAGTGCGACTTTCACTTTCCTGCTACTCCAATGTCACATGAGGGCCTCCATAGACACTAATTTCACACAAGCAAAACATCTCATTTTTTAAATGAAAAGAGCAATATAAGAAGTTAATGTCTGAAATGAAGGGTTCCAGGTCCAGGTACTCAATTTTCCAAGAACAATCAAATGGGAAAAAAAATACTGACAGACATTCTTAAGTATTCTTTTCATACTCTCAAAATCTAAAATAAAGTCTTCGTATAAATTAAAATAGTACTTCAATCAAACATACAATACAAACTAAAGTTTTGCATCGGCAGTCTTGTAGACACTTTGAACACTTAAACATCAGAGGCATGTATAAATTCCTGTAAGAGTGAGAAATACCGCACACAAACCTCCTTCATGACCGCATCGTGTGAACTCCTGGTGTACACAACTGGATTTGCAGTGACGGGCGCGGCGCAGATGGACACTGAGGTCACGTTAGGCAAGACGGCGATCCTTCAGAGGACTCTGAACACCTGCCTCTCAGGGCGCTGGGTCTGGCTTTGCAATAAATACGCAATAAATACCCCCGGGACACGGCGTGTAGGGCAGCGCTCATCGCTCTCCATTGGAAAGTCTCTCCCCAGAGTCGCAGCGCGGCAGAGGCAGCCGGGCGGGCGGGGCGCTGGGGCTCTGCAGCAGCTCCACCACCACGGCCAGCTGGCGGTCCACGTGCTCCTGCAGTCTGCGCACCCGCTCATCAATGTAGTCCATGAGTTTCTTTTCCATCAGCTCCATGTTTTTGGAAAGAATCTTCTCCAAGTAGGAGCAAACAGGCTGTGTTTCCATTCTAAAAATAAAATGAAAAAAAAAAAAATCAATTTTCCCTAAAAGTGTGTGAAAAACCCGAGGCCATATGGACAAGCAGTCAACACACACAGTTGACATGTGCCTGCACAACTGTTCTGTCTCCGTGTGCCACCTGTCCAGGTTCCACGATGCACGCACAATATGTAATCATAGTCTTGAATGCCCAACACATTCTGATTTGTTTAATTCTTTAAATAGTTACGAAGTACACAACCGAAGATGAACCCTTAAAGAAAATGGCTGCAGGCGGGTCAGGGTTGTGGCACAGTGGGTAAGCCACTGCCTGCCAAGTGGGCATCCCATACGGGCCCTGGTTCCTGTCCCGGCTGCTCCATTTCTGAGCCAACTCCCTGATAATGCACCCTGGGAAAGCAGTGGAAGATGGCTCACACGCTTGGGCCCTACCCCTCAGGTGGGAGATTCAGAAGAAGCTCCTGGATCCTCCCTGGGCCTGGCCCAGCCCTGGCTGTTGTGGCCACTTGGGGAGTGAACCAGCAGATGCAGGATCTCGCTCTTTCTCTCCAATTCTACCTTTCAAAGAAAACAAAAAGCAACCTCAGCATACTGCTTTTTAAGAATTCCTTTTTTTTTTTTTTTGGGCCAGGCAGAGTTAAGACAGTGAGAGAGACAGAGACAGAGAGAGAGAGAGAGTTGTAGACAGTGAGAGACAGAGACAAAGGTCTTCCTTCTGTTGGTTCACTTCCCAAATGGCCACCATGACCGGCGCTGCGTCGATCGCAAGCTAGGATCCAGGTGCTTCTCCTGGTCTCCCACGCGGGTGCAGGGCCCAAGCACTTGGGCCATCCTCCACTGCACTCCCGGGCCACAGCACAGAGCTGGCCTGGAAGAGGAGCAACTGGGACTAGAAGCTGGGGTGCTGGCGCTGCAGGCAGAGGATTAGCCTAGTGAGCCACGGCACCGGCCAAGAATTCCTTCTTAAGTCAAGAGCTTTGACCTCTGCACTGCCCAGCTCCCCCGGGACATCTACACTGCCAGCAGCACCATTCTTGGGCTCTGGGGTCATTATTAAGTAAAACAGACTGAACTGCCACACAAGCCACGGCTGGCCTGGTGACTAACACGGCTACCGAGGGAGAGCGGGTAGGTGACGCGTGCACTCAGAGACGCCAGACAACAGGTTCATATTCCAGGCAGGACAGAGGGGGATGACAAGAGACCCCATCACACTACTCAGAATGGCGTGCGACAGAACACTTGTGAACTGTTTATTTCTGGAACGTTCCCAGCTGCATTCTCAGCCCATGGCTGACTGTGGGGAACTGAAGTGAAGCCAGGGAGGAGGGAGAGGCTACTGTGGTTCTAAGCCAGATGTTGCCGTGCAGGTTCAGGCAGCCTCCGTCAGCATCAAGCTACAGAACTCTCCTGCACCACAAGCTCTGCCTGTGCTCCGGCCTTACAGGCACCCCCCACCCGGCCCTCCGCAACCCTGGCAGCACTGGCTTCTTCCCCAGCTGGGGACGCTGCATAGATGCAGTCATGCGCATGCCGTCTTCTGCGAGCTTCTTCACTTGGCGTAATCCCCTGAGCTGCTGCGGGCATCAGCTCACTGTTTTCTGGGCGAGGACTCCTTGGTGTGTGCTCTGCTTGTTTCACCGCTGGACAAACACGGGATGCGTTGTTTTTTCCCACTTGCTGGCTATTCCAGGTAACGCTGCTATGAACCACCAGGCACAGCCTTCTGTGTGGACAGTCTCACGTCGTGAGCGTCCAGCAGGGCAGTGTGACTTCTGCCGTATGTGCTAAGTCTGCTTAGTTTTTTGCTGTTATTTTTTTTTGACAGGCAGAGTGGACAGTGAGAGAGACAGAGAGAAAGGTCTTCCTTTTTCCGTTGGTTCACCCCCCAATGCCCGCTGAGGCCGGCGCGCTGTGGCCAGCGCATCATACTGATCCGAAGGCAGGAGCCAGGTGCTTCTCCTGGTCTCCCATGAGGTGCAGGGCCCAAGCACTTGGGCCATCCTCCACTGCACTCCCTGGCCACAGTAGAGAGCTGGCCTGGAAGAGGAGCAACCAGGACAGAATCCGGCGCCCCGACTGGGACTAGAACCTGGTGTGCCGGCGCCGCAAGGCAGAGGATTAGCCTACTGAGCCACGGCGCCGGCCCAGTCTGTTTAGTTTTTTAAGAAACCTGACAAGCTGTTTTCCAAAACTGCTGTGCGTTTAACAGCCTCGCCAGCAACGTCCGAGAGGTCCAGCCTCCCTGCACCTTCGCAGCGGCCAGTGCTCTCGTCATTCTTCTTCCACCCCGAGGCTGTGGCGGGTGACGAGGACGCAGCTGTTTCAATCTGTCTGTTTTTCTGAATGTCTGTACCACAAGTCTGCAGTCACGTACTGGAATTGTTTTCTCACGTTATTCCAGTGACTTTCTAGCTTAAAATTTGCAGGCAAATTCTCCTTAAGAGAATATCAACTCCCAATATTTTCAAGTGTAGGCTATTACATCAGAAGTCCTAAAAACTCACAATATTATATATACTTCACAGTCAAGTTTTAAATCTTTCATACTGACAAAATTATTAGAAAAGTACACACAATTCTGATGGGGAAATGAGCAAGATCAAAAGTGGTTTTCTGGGGCCAGTGCTGTGGCTAACTTGGTTAATCCTCTGCCTGTGGTGCCACCATCCCATAGTCCCGGTTGCTCCTCTTGCAGGCCAGCTCTCTGCTGTGGCCTGGGAGTGCAGTGGAGGATGGCCCAAGTGCTTGGGCCCTGCACCCCATGGGAGACCAGGAGAAGCACCTGGCTCCTTGCTTCGGATCAGCGCAGCGCCGGCGATAGCGGCCATTTGGGGCATGAACCAATGGAAGGAAGACCTTTCTCTGTCTCTCTCATTGTTTATAACTCTACCTCTCAAATACAAAGAAAAAAAAAAAAAGAGTGGTTTTCTTTAGGAAACGATTCTACTAAAACAACATGGGAATAGAAGGAATCTCACGTGTTCAAAACAGATTAAACGCATGGCTATAATCCACACGGCCATTGAATACGCCCTGAACTACAGGATATAGAACCACCTCCCACCCACCGACGGAATCTTGAGCTGACACCCAACAGTCAAGGGCTCCCAAGAAATACACAGCCAGCTAATGAATTCACCTCTCTCTCCCCCTCTCCATTTGTAAACTTGAAACACTGGATGAAACAGTTGAGAAAACTATTCTTTAGGGAATGGTGTTGTGAGTCAATGGATAAAGCCACTATTTGAGATCCTTGCATTCCTCATCAGAGACTGATTCCAGTCCCAGCCGGTCTGCTTCTGATTCACTTCCTGATAACGCTCCTGGGAAAGCAATGCAAGATGGCCTGAGTGTTTTTTCTTTTAAGATCTATTTATTTATTTGAAAGGCAGAGTTACAGAGAGGCAGAGGCAGAGAGGAGGGAGGGAGAGAGAGAGAAAGAAAGGTCTTCCATCTGTTGGTTTACTCCTGCAATGGTTACAATGGTTGGAGCTGTGCTGATCCGAAGCCAGGAGCCAGGAGCTTCTTCCAGGTTGCCCACACGGGTGCAGGGGCCCAAGGACGTGGGTCATCTGCTGCTGCTTTCCCAGGCCAGAGCAGAGAGCTGCCACAGCGCCTGGCCCAGTACTTGGGTCTCTGCTAGCTATGTGGGAGACCTGGATGGATCCTGGCTTCAGCCTGGCCCAGCCTTGACTGCTGCAGCCGTTTGGGGAGTGAACCAGTGGACAGAAGCTCTACGTCTCTTCCTCTCTCATTCTGCCTTTCAAATGAATATTTATTAACTGTTCTGGATTATGCAAGAGACGTGGGACTACTGACAAGACATTATAGGAGTAACAGACTTGGCTTGTTTCTCTGCTGCTTCTGTTTCTTGCAGGTCAGTCCTGAGTCAGCCACTTGCACCTGCTCTTTCCTCTGCTCTCTTAGCCTCTACTACTGCGTCTGAGGGCTTACCCTCTCCTATCTTCTGTGGCTTTGTTCCCACTTGTGGAGGAGCAGGTTTAGCTGGCGACCTTGCTGGTCTCTTCCTGGGGTCTTCCTTCACCACCCCGCTCTGCACCGATTCAGGTCCATCACACAAACTTGCATGTGCTGTAATTTTATTTTCATTCAGTTCTACGTATTTGCATTGCCTTTGAGACCTCCTCTTTGAATACGCTGTTTAATTTATAAGGGTTTGGAAATTTTCTTTTGGTCTTTTGGTTATTGACTTCTAATTTGATTTTATGGTCAGAGGATATTCTATTTTGATTGTTTTTAATTGCAGGAGTTTGGATTTAAATTCTTTTTAATTTGTGGGGATTTGGTTTATAAGCAAGGGTGTGGCCCACACCAGCGGGCACTGGAGAAGGAGGCACATTCTGCTGTTGCTGCGTGTCCTGTGAATTTCACCCAGACGCTGACGGCTGACGGCTGACGGCACTGTGCAGTTCTCAGTAGGCTGCTGAACTCCAGTTGTGGAAATATCTACTCCTATTCGGTCTATCAGGGTTTGCTTTATGTATTTTGAAAGTCTGTTGTTTTGTGTCACCATACACTGCGGTGTGATGCGTCACTCTTGTGTTCACGGTGATGCTGGTGAGATCAATCTTTGCTGTCAACCGTGTGAAAGTACAGCCGTGCAACTGCGTCAAGTATCTGAACACTTGATAATAAGTAGCTATGCACTGTATTTTGTTATTTCTGTGTATTCATTTTACTTATTAAAATTTTTTATTGTAGAACAGCACGCCGCATTACACTGCATCGGCCTCAAATATCCTGTGTTTACTGCATCTCTTGGTGCACCAAGAGGCCAGGTTGTGTGACTGACCTCTACCACCAGGCTGTGCAGCTGTGTTCAGGGTGTCAACAGCACCGTGCAGGTGTGCTTGGAGGTGCTCACACAGCGCCACAACGTCCCAGCGACGCGGATCTCGGGCTGTGGCTCCATCCCTCAGCGGTAAATAATCATGATCTTAGTTTTCATTCATGCCAGGATGCCTGTTTCATTCCAAAAGTGTATCTTTGCTGGTACAGAATCTGTGACTGACAGTTTTTCTTTCAGGACTTAGAAAAGCTGTCCCTTCTTCCTGGGCTCCACTTCAGATGAAGCCAGCTTTAAGCGTCCCGTCTTTCTGGGAGGCCTGCTCAGTCTTCAGGGCTCAGCAGACTATCATGTGTTCTGCGCAGATTTCCCTGGATCCACCCTGAGTAGAGTTCATTCCGCTTCGGGAACCCTTCGTCAGTTTTGGGAAAACGCCAACCGTTTTGCTGCTTTGAGTAGGTTTGCAGCCCCACACGCCGCCTCCTCCCCCTCCGATATTGGCCCAGAATTAAAGGCCTGCTGTCCTCCCCTGCAGAGGGTGACATCTGCCACTCAGAACCGAAGCACCACGTGCAGGAGAGCAGGGGTGGACGGTCCGCTTCCTGGCTCTGTCCACACCACTCCCACGACGTCAGGAGAGCAGGGGTGGACGGTCAGCGTCCCGGCTCTGTCCACACCACTCCCACGTGCATCAGGAGAGCAGGGGTGGACGGTCAGCATCCCGGCTCTGTCCACACCACTCCCACGTGCTTCAGGCGAGCAGGGGTGGACGGTCAGCGTCCCGGCTCTGTCCACACCACTCCCACGTGCTTCAGGCGAGCAGGGGTGGACGGTCAGCTTCCCGGCTCTGTCCACACCACTCCCACGACGTCAGGAGAGCAGGGGTGGACGGTCAGCTTCCCGGCTCTGTCCACACCACTCCCACGTGCTTCAGGCGAGCAGGGGTGGACGGTCAGTGTCCCGCCTCTGTCCACACCACTCCCACGTGCTTCAGGCGAGCAGGGGTGGACGGTCAGCGTCCCGGCTCTGTCCACACCACTCCCACGTGCTTCAGGCGAGCAGGGGTGGACGGTCAGCATCCCGGCTCTGTCCACACCACTCCCACGACATCAGGAGAGCAGGGGTGGACGGTCAGCTTCCCGGCTCTGTCCACACCACTCCCACGACGTCAGGAGAGCAGGGGTGGACGGTCAGCGTCCCGGCTCTGTCCACACCACTCCCACGTGCTTCAGGAGAGCAGGGGTGGACGGTCAGCGTCCCGGCTCTGTCCACACCACTCCCACGTGCTTCAGGAGAGCAGGGGTGGACGGTCAGCGTCCCGGCTCTGTCCACACCACTCCCACGTGCTTCAGAAGAGCAGGGGTGGACGGTCAGCTTCCCAGCTCTGTCCACACCACTCCCACGTGCTTCAGGCGAGCAGGGGTGGACGGTCAGCGTCCCGGCTCTGTCCACACCACTTCCACGTGCTTCAGGCAAGTGGACGGTCAGCTTCCCGGCTCTGTCCACACCACTTCCACGTGATTCAAGCAAGTGGACGGTCAGCTTCCCGGCTCTGTCCACACCACTTCCACGTGATTCAGGCAAGTGGACGGTCAGCTTCCCGGCTCTGTCCACACCACTCCCACAGCGGAACCAGAGTGCGGCTGCTGTGCTCCGAGTTGGTGGAATAGCACCTCCCATCCAGCGTACTGACCAGGGCACCACCGCCTTTTCCCACCCAGCAGGGAGGGCGGGCTCGCAGGCCTGTGCCACTGAGCAGGAGCTGTTGAAAGGCTGGCTTCCTCAGGACTCCCTTTACTGCATCTCGCGCTAGAAGGAACGGGACTCGTTCAGCCGCTTACATTCTGTGCCCACTGCTTGTCCCAGGTTGCAGCGTCGACTCCTACTGTACATGGAAGGCCAAACACCACTCTGTTGTGCCTCAAATCCCATGATCTGTAAGCTGTCTGATTCTTCATCCTCCCTTTCAGAGTATTTGCAGGTTTGCTGTGTTTAGGGATTTTTACCACATAAGGAAGACCGTGAGGAACGGGATATGCCACGTTGGCTGCACCCAGAGGAGTCTTCAGCGGTTTTTAAAACCCAGTTAAGCTTTCCTTTTCTCCTTCTTTGTTGCCATCCTGTGTGACAACCACATCACTGCTGCCCACCCACCACCGAGAGTTACTACTGTCTTCCCACGTCTGTGGCGAGAAGGAACGACCTGTTTTCAACAGATTACTAAATTTCTAAAATTTTAACACTATGGAAGACTTAAAAAATCCAACACATATAAGTATCTCACTTTACACATAAAAAAACTAAGCTAAAAGATGTACACAATAAGGCAAAATACACAAGCCAGGAGTGTGATTGGAGTCCTGAATTCTAGTACAGGGCAACGTTTTAACACGTTACATCAATGGAAAGTATGGGGGAAAAACAAAATACTTAGCTATTTTGCAATCAAGCCAAGACAGCCAAAAACTAAACTATCAGACCACAGTATAAGGGCCTATAAACTGTAATTAAGGGGTAGGGAACCTTTCTCTGCAGAGGGCCATTTGGGTATTTATAACATCACCTGCGGGTCATACAAAATTATCAACTTAAAAATTAGCTGACTGCAGATGCACTGAATTTCAGATACTGCCCAGGGCTGCCTTGGCAGGGCCAGGCCAAGTGATTTCACGGCTGTGCACGGCCGTGGGCTGCAGATCCCCATCCCCTCTGTAAATAGCTAGGAATGGAGGTTTTTGATGACTGCAACATCAGTCCAGGCCAGACAAGATTTACACGGAAATCTGGTAGGACGGCGGGGAGGTCAAATCAGGAGCGTGGACATTCCCCTGGTCCCGCTCCCTGAACTCGGACAGCACCTGCCGCTCTGAGGCTCCTCTGCTGAGTAGTGACGGAACACACGCGCCGCGATTCTGGAGCGGTGCTTAGACACCAGCGTTCGCGTCCTCGGAGGCTCCACCTCCACACCTAAGAAAGGACTTACGCAAGTGGCGCTCGGCCCTCCCGGCGCTCGGCGGCTCCGGCCACGCGGACACGGCTGAGCTGGCCACACAGGGTCTGCAGGAAGGGCAGCACGCTGGGCTCGTCGCCTGCCTTCTCTGACACTGCAGTTCTCAGCTCACTTGCGAGGGCGGAGCAGGTCTGGGGCTCCGTTCTGCACCCGTCCAGGGCTGCCGCGTTTTCTCCACCATGCACCTGTGCGCTTCCCGCGGTGTCACCGGGCGCCAGTGCAGTCCCGACAGGCACAGGTGTGCACGCTGACTTGGCGGGGGCTCCCGCGGGCGCTGGGGACTGCAGCGCGCCCAGATGCTGGTACCCAGGGCTCCCCAGGACCGCCTGCAGCTGCTCCCCCACGGGAATCCGGTTCTGACAAGGCAAGGAGGAAAGGCGAGCAGTGAGACTTGTGCGGCTGCTCTGGGCGACTCCCCGGGGAGGCACTGCCCGCTTGACTGGCTCAGGAAGCCAGGCACACAGCAACAGTAATCCCAGCACTCAGTGGGGGAGGCCAAGGCCAAAGGGACCCGGCCACGGCAATCAGCTTCTAAGGGACAGGGCGGGGACCGGACCTCAGGCCACCCACCCCCACGGTCAGGGCTCTTTAATCCCTTCACCGCAGTGTCTTCTAAAAATATATCCCTGGGGGCAGTGCTGCGGCGCAGTGGGTAAAGCTGCTGCCTGCAACGCCAGTATCCCATATGGGCGCCGGTTCTAGTCCCAGCTGCTCCAATTCCAAACCAGCTCTCTGCTATGGCCTGGGAAAGCAGTAGAAGATGGCTCAAGTCCTTGAGGCCCTGCACCCACGTGGGAGATCCGGAAGAAGCTCTTGGCTCCTGGCTTCAGCCTGGCCATTGTGGCCATTTGGGGAGTGAACCAGCAGATGGAAGATCCTTTCTCTCTCTTTCTCTCTCTCTCTCTCTCCCTCCCTCCCTCCCTCCCTCTGTGTCATTCTGTCTTTTAAATAAAAAATAAATCTTAAAAACAAATATAATACGGGGATGTAGATGGTGAGAAATGCATTAGGGACAGACAAGGACGGAAAGGGAGTAATGAGGGCCAAGGAAGTGGGGGCTGGGGAGACCCTAATGTCAAGAATCCTCTAGCTCCATTCACTGCTCCACACGCTGGACACCTGAGAAATGTTAACCTGTTGTCAATTTAACTTGTTCTACTGAATCCAAGTTTTGAATAAATTTTAAAATGCCCCTGGATAAGACAGATTATTTATTGTTAAACTTAACAATATTTGAACATCAGACAACTTTCTTTTTCCTCTAGGGGCTTTATTCAGTCATAATGGAAAGACTCATTTATTTCTCTCTGATACCTCAAACAACAACAAAAAATGTATGGTATGGCCGGCAATAGGCTAATCCCCCACCTAGTGGCGCCGGCACACCGGGTTCTAGTCCCGGTCGGGGCGCCGGATTCTGTCCCGGTTACCCCTCTTCCAGGCCAGCTCTCTGCTGTGGCCCAGGAGTGCAGTGGAGGATGGCCCAAGTCCTTGGGCCCTGCACCCCATGGGAGACCAGGAGAAGCACCTGGCTCCTGCCATCGGATCAGTGCGGTGCGCCGGCTGCAGCGCGCCAGCCGTGGCGGCCACTGGAGGGTGAACCAACGGCAAAGGAAGACCTTTCTCTCTGTCTCTCTCTCACTATCCACTCTGCCTGTCCAAAAAAAAAAAAGTATGGTAGAAAACTGACAAATGGATGTAACAGGGAAAGGATGGGGAAACCCTCCCTTGTTCACTCCCCACATACCGGGAATGATTGGGGGGGGTCAAAGTCGGGAGCCAGGAACTCAACCCAGGGCTCCCACGAGGGTGGCACACTCAGCGACCCGGGTGGTGGCCTCTGCCTCCCAGGGTCTGCATTAGCGGGAAGACGGACGCAGCAGCCAGAGTCCAGGGTGAAACCAGAGGCTCGACGGGGACACAGACTGCAAACCAGCGCCCTGAGCGCAGGTCGGCACCCAGCCGTGCCCAGCCTCACTGCCAGGAAGCGCACACAGCAACAAGCACACGCCCAACACCAGCTCCGCGGCCAGCTGGACACACGTGGGCACAGCCACTGAACGGGCTCACGTCCTCACTGAGCAGGAAACTGTCCAGAGGAGATCTGATAATAAGGAACCCAGACACAGTGGGATCCTGGGGCCACAGAAATGCGGCAGAGCTGAGGTGGCCCAGGTCCCGGAGGTCAAAGTAAGGAGCCCGGGTTGGTTTTCAGTGAGAGGAAGTGGCTGGGGGCTTCACTCAGCACAAAGACGAAGGCCTGGGCCCTGTGGGTCTTTCTGGCTGCCATGCAGAGGAAGCGTGGTGGGGCAGAGGCCCAGTGAGGACTCCCTGCGGTGCTGAGCAGAGACGAAGGTGGACCAGGAGGGAGGCACAGACCCCACCCCGGCTGAGACCCTCCCTCCTGTGGTTCCTGGGGTTCCAACCCCGCCCACACTCCAGTGCATCAACAAGGAAGTACTTATAAACCTCTCAATATTTACGCTCATTGTTTAAATTTTCACATAACCCTGTGATTTTTATAGTACTATTTAGGTTTTGTAGATGGGAATTCATCCTTTTAAAAGTAAGAATCAGTGGCCGGCGCCATGGCACCATAGGTAAAGCCACCTCCTGCAGAGCCAAAATCCCATATGGGCACAGGTTCGAGTCCCAGCTGCTCCACTTCTGATCCAGCTCCCGGCCAATGCACCTGGAAAAGCAGTGGAAGACGGCCCAGCGCTTGAGCCTCGCACCCTCGTGGGAGACCTGGAAGAAGCCCCTGGCTTCCGATCGGCCCAGCTCCAAGACTGCAGCCATCTGGGGAATGAACCAGCAGATGGAAAATCTCTCTCTCTCTCTCTGTAGCTCTGCCTCTCAAATAATTAAATCTTAAACAAAACAAAAACAAAAAGGAGCATCACCCGCCCCAGGACGCAGGCCAGTGCGCGCCAGCAGCAGCTGCAGCCCCCGTGCGGTCAGGAACCCTCCCCTCGTGCTCCCTTCCCCCTGGTCCCTTTTCTTCCCCTGGAGGAAGGCAGTGTTCTCCACGGGGCCTCCCACCCCGCGTCAGTCTCCCCCCCCCAGTCCCTGCGGCCTCGCCTCTCAAACCTCCCTTCCGGCAAGCCAGGGCTCACTCCCACCCCATCCCATGTTTCCAGACGCCTGAGAACCCTTGCAATACCGCATCATCACTCTGAAAGTCAACGACCCACAACGAAGCTCCTCTCTCCAGGCCCCCCTCCCTCCAGAAATCAGCGGCGTGGCTGTCCTGCAAACCTCCCCGCACGGGACGGTCCTTGGCGGTCCAGGCCCAGCGGCTGTGCTGTCTGAGCCTCGCACAGCCCAGGTCAGTCCCTGACTCTCGTCTGGAGGAGGGCCCGTGGGGGTGCCCTTCTCGCAGTCCCACTGTCTTCTGATTCCACGGACACGTTCCGCGGAGCCGATCTCCAACCACAGGGAGACCTGCACACACCAGACAGCACACAAGCTCTCACCACCTCGCTCCATCCTTTCTGCCTCCCCGCCACTTCTTCACTCAGAAATGACCTTGTACCCACGTCCTTGTCACACCCCCTTCCTCCCGCATGGGAGGCTAGAGCCCCATCTGCAGTGTCTGCTCCGCCTCCTGGCCCCTCCCTGCCTAATCCCACTCCTCTAATTCCGTCTCCTTAGTAGTCTTCCCAAGTCGTCCTCCTCCTTCCCCACGCGCAAGCTCTGAACTGGAAAAGCCTTCCACCAGGAGACTGACTGGTCACTCTGGCCCCCTCCGAGGCCCTGCTCCACGAGAGGCTGCCTACGGAGCACAGCGAGGCCAGCGACAGGAGCCCAGACTGCGAGGACTGCAGCCCGCACGCGGGGCAGGAGGGCGAGTCCCCAGATGTGGATTTATGCGAGCAAACGAGGGAAGCTCTTTCATCAGAGTCAAGACTTAAGGTGACATCACGCGCTGCCTTGTTAAAGGCCCGGCTTGGGAATTTTTAACAGGCGCGGACAGAAATCCACCTGTACTCACCTGCTGCTGAAACCGAACCATATCCATCAGCTGCTGGGCACCCGGCGATAACTTGGAGCCCATGGACCGCATCATGGTTTGGACCTTGTCCAGGTCTATCCTGGACCCCAGAGCAGGAGAGCGTGTGGAGGAATTTGCCGGAACCGACCTCACGTGCACCACAACTCTACTGAGGAACACACACTGCTTCTCACCCAACGACAGCAACTGTCACAAAACAGAAGTTCAGGGACATCAATTCTATTAAACAATGTCCATTCAAGGTCATTTCTGTGTATTAAATATCAAACTCAGGAAAACAACTACAAGCTTGAAATATATTTTCATTTTACGTTTTCTCTAAAATAAGTCAGAACTCCCCATTTATTATGTGGTTCAGAAGAGTAATTTATATATAACTATCATTTTCAAGCTAAAAACAACGCATTAAATGTACAAAGAGTGTAAAGTTCATCTGCTCACGGAACTGAAACAGACTAAGGCCAAGGAGAGACGTTAGCACACTGCAGCGTGCTACAATATTCTGCTTTCTAAGCTCACAGCCCTTCTCACCAGCAAATGAACAATTCTATTTGCTGAGTCGGCGTATTTTCTGTCTTGCTCCACTGCACCACAAGCAACATGATCAATTCTTACTGATCATGTGGGACTTCAGGGTTTACGGGAAACCATCTGTTTATTCAATGTCCCCATCATCTTTTGAAGCCCCTTCATCCTGCTGATTCCCGACGGCCAGTACAGGACCTGGCGTCACGGTGTGCCAGCGCTTGCTGCAGACACCATGTTCACTAAGCAGCCTGGGAGGCTTCCTAAAGCAGTGTCTCAGGACGACTCATTCTCCGAGTCTGCTGCGTGCCTTCCGTACGAATGAGCCGTAAGTGATTAACCCTGCAGGAGGCAATGTGGAGGAAAACGAAGCAGTGATTTTCTTCAGCCCCTCGTTCACCGCCGAGATGAAGAGGTTTGCCCAAGGTTGCCGGCTCGGCAGCAGCAGGGTGGAGTCCATACCTGGTCTGATTTCAGGCACAGTACTCTGTCTACACGCACTAAAGTTCATTTCAGTGTCATTTTTTATAGTCAAGATTCCAATCCACGTCCCTTCAACGTCTGCGGTGTAGACACTGTAATCTCTGAAATTCTGGCTTATTTTTCTTGATATGAGGTAGCTAAACCCAAAATCTGGTTTTGTCATCATAGTCTTATAGACAGAGATAAAGGACAGAGTTGGACTAAACGGTTTAAGAAAGTAACAGTAAATAAGTACTTCTTATCCAAAAACACTGGGAGTCAAATTAGTTAAAATATGTGTGGAGTTACCTTTATTTTACAAGCACGAGCTGATGATTCCAATTTTAAGTATTTTTTGTAGAAAACAATTTCTTGTTCGCTAAAAACAAAATAGAATTAAAGTTGTTTTCACATTCATAGGTTACCATTTGTGGGCACTTACATTTAAAAATCAACAGTCTCCAGGCCATTACTTAAATCCTGAGATTCACTGTGCCTGGGAGGGGACAAAGGGCAGGCCCCACGCTAGTGACTGGATACTGACACTGGATCTGCCAATTAGCACTCTGTGAGAGAATGAAAGAATCCATATAAGACCACGCAGCATGCAGCATACAGCAAAGCTCCGTGAGTGGCCACTACTTCTCCCGGGAAACACGGGACGGCTCACATTTCGCGTGATATTCAGGAGAGATCATTACAGAATTCTCCTTCAGGGAGCAGAGAGAATATCAAACTGTGGATGAGGCAGGCTGCTGCACACGGGCGTGGGCACCACTTGTAATGGTTTTCCTTCCAAACAAATGTGTTCAGAGATCCAGACTAATCGCCAAACTCACTCCTGGAAAGCAAAGCAGGGCGAGCTGACCGAGCGGGCAGCGCACCAGGGACCGGCCAGGGCACTGCAGCAGGGACTCGGGCAGACTCTCACCTCTGCAGGACTCGTGTTTCAGGGACGCTGGGCTCACAGAAGTCAGAGCACCAGACAAGCGCAAGGAACCCCCTGCGCACCGTCCCCACCACGCCGAGCGCTCCTCGCTGAGACTCACTTCCCCACCCTTTTCGGAACACACCTGAGCCTTCCTCTTCCTCTCCCGCTGTCTTGGCTGCTCCCACTCTCGCTCTAAAACCACAGCAAACTGCGTCCTCAAGGAGGCCGACTCCCGAGGGCACCGTCTTCCTACTGCCTCTTGTACTGTCCCCTGGGCAAGTCCTGATTGAAGCGGGTCAGCCGGCAGCATCCCAAGGACGCCCGTGTCGGCCTCAAATCACCTCCTCTGTAGCTCCAAATGTCCACAGCCCTGAAAGCTGACTAAGCCCATCTCGACTGCCCTCCAGATGCCAGGGTCTACACTTCTGTGTGCACAGGGTCTACACGGCTGTGTGCACAGCGGCAGCTTCCCCTCCCCCCACCACGGGCCAGCACCAGCGGCAGGAGGATCTACACATTCCACAAAGGTCGAGGAAACTACACCACTCGCTCAGAATATTCCAGAAGCACAGGCACAAACCTGCCCCTCGGGACGGAACCGACGCTCTCGCCCCTGCTGGTTCCACAGTACTCCTGGCCCAGGTACACCTCCATGTTTCTCGCTGAGCTCACGACGCCGACGGCTGCCACGGCGTCCCCTCCCTCAGGGTCACACAGCAGGTACAGGAAGCAGGGGGCCTCGTCCTGGCTGCACTGGCTCCTCTCCAAACGCACCAGACCCTGGCTGAGGACAAAGTCGGGAAGCCCTGCTCAGCGCGGGCTCGGGGCACTGCTCCCACCGCCCACAGGCCGCGGGCGTCTCTCAGGGAACTGCATTTTATCTGAGAGGTGGGTGGATAGAGGTAGACAGGTAGACAGGTAGACAGATAGATGGATGACAGATGATAGATGATATAGATAGGATGATGGAGATGACATAGACAGATGATGGATAGATAATAGATGATATAGACAGACGATAGAGATGACAGATGATGGATACGTAGACAGATGATGATAGATGGATAGATAGAAGATAGAGATGATTGATAGGGATGATAGATGGATGATAGACAGATAGAAGGATGATACGCCGCTATAATCTCACGCCTGGTTCCCTCCCCAAACGCTGCGCCAGGCTGCAGCCAGAGCCTGGAGCTCCTTCTGGTCTCCCAGGTAGGAGGCGGGGAGCCCAGCACCTGAGCCCCCAGCCCTGAGCCCGCACCTGCGGCCCGGGGCGCGCATGCGCAGGAAGCTGCCCGGGCAGCCGGCGGGGACGCGGCCCCGGCTCCCAGTGGCGTCCGCGCCCCCTGGGCCGGCGTTCCTGCCCCCGCACTGCCCGGCCCGGGCCGCCGCGGGCTGCGGCCGCACCCACGGGACACGGAGGCCGCAGACGCCGGGTTCCCGGTCCTCCCCGGCCGTCCCCGGCCTCCGCACCTGACCCTCTGCTAACTCCGTCAGTTTCCGGGGCGCCCGCAGCGCGCACGGAGGCCGGCGGAGGACGCGGCCCGGGACGAACACGCGTCTCTCCGCCACGCAGGGCAGCGGCGCCCACGCCGGGCCTCCGGGACGCACCGCGGTCGCGCGGGGGCTCGTTCGCTGGCCTCGGGCTGGACGGGTGGGTCGAGCCCCGCGGGAACGCGGTGCGCGGCGACCAGGACCGGGGGAGGCCCCGGCGTCGCCCACGCCCGCCCGCACGCCCCGGGCCCGCACCCTCTGCCCTCGCGGCCGCCGGCTCCCCGCACGCCTCCCGCAGCAGCGCGGAGCCCCGGCCCCACCGCCGCAGCGCACCCCGGAGCCGGCGGCGCCAGCAGCTCCTCCCAGTCCGGGTCCCGGGCGTCCACGCCAGCCCGCAGGAGGACGAGGCTCTGGGTCAGGACTCCGCCGGCGGCATCCCAGGAGGCGGCCAGCGTCGGGCGGCGGCCCGGCTCCCCGGCCTCGCTGCCGGCGTCCATTCTGCCGCCGCTGGACCAGACTAACACCGGAACCTCTCTGCCAGGGCTGAGTTTCCGCCCGTGCAGCGAGGAGCGAGGAGACGGTGCGACTTCCGGCTTGTCCGGCTGCACGCCCGAAATCCGCCACTGGTCGCCCCTGGGGGAGTCCTGCAGGCCCCACAGACGCGCATGCGCAATCCCGCGGTGCTCAGGAACGGCCTCCAACGACAGGGCGCGAGATCAGGGCACGGGCATGCGCAATGGCAGCGCCCGGTCGCCCGAGCAGCCGGTGCGCAGGCGCGGTGCGCTGAGCGCGGAAACGGTTTGGCGTGGGGGAGTGGAGACAGCGGGGGTGAGGGTTGCGGAGGAGAGTGTCGCCTCGTCGGTCCGCGAGCGCAGCGAGACCACCGTGACGTCAGGGTTCTCCGGGGGATGAGGGTCTCCTTCAGCCCGCGGTGGGGCGGGATCGGGGCGTCCTCGCAGGTGCCGCCCTCTCTCTTCCCCACTCGCGTTCTGCCCGCGCGGGGCGATGAGGTGCACGGGCAGGGTGGGCTTGGGCGTGCCGGCCTCTGCAGCCGGGTCTCCACTGTCGCAGGCCTGGCCCCGGGGAGCGCGGGTTAGAGACGCGGTGGTGCGGGCGGAGAAACCTGGGCTCGGGCTCCCCCGGTCCTCCTCTGGGCGGAGGTGGTCGTGGCTGCCTCGGCGGCCAGTGGGCGCGGGGCTGCGGCCCTCGGACACGGAGAATGTCCGTCACGAGCCACTGTCACGGGGCCGGAGCCGGTCTCCAGCCGGCGGGCGTCTCCCGCACTCCCAGCTCAGGGTGCTGCGGGTGTGACCAGCGGCTTTGCATCCCCTCAGGTGGGGGCAAGCGTCCACTCAGCCGGCAGGGAAGGGGCTGGGCCCTGGGGAGGCCGGAGGTCCGGGGTCCAGGCCACCTCGTGTGACCTGGCGGCTTTAAATCGCAGCTCAGGGTGGGTGCAGTCTTAGGACCGGAGCGGGAGAGGGGGCCGGCCGTCTCCAGGAGACCCCCATCCCCAGGAGACCCCCAATTCAGGACCCCCATCTCCAGGAGACGCCCAATTCAGGACCCCCAATTCTAGGAGACCCCCATCTCAATGACCCCCATATCAGGAGACCCCCCCTACCTCCGTGAGACCCCCTTCCCCAGGAGACCCCCATCTCAATGACTCCCCATCTGAGGAGACCCCCCCATCCGCAGGAGACACCCCATCTCAATGTCCCCCATCTGAGGAGACCCCACCACCTCCGTGAGACCCCCATCTCCATGAGACCCCCATCTCCAGGAGACCCCCATCTCTGTGCGCCCTCCCATCTCTAGGACCCCCACCTCCAGAGCCCCAAGCCATCAGCACACACGGGAGCCCCGTCCACGGGCGCCCCGGTAGGATGGCCCAGTGAACAGACACCCCGCCTTGGAACCCGCGCACTGGTGGAAGCCGGCGACCCTGCGGGCGCCCCGCCTGAGCTCCTCTCGGTTCAAGCTTCCTCCGCTGCTGCCAATCGAATAAAAGTTTCTTTTCTAATAAAGATTTCTGCCTCTTTGCAAACTGTTTCCCGGCTCTTTATTCTCTACTAGTTTAGGAAAAGAACCCAGGAGACTCGCTCCGGCCACCGCCCTCCCCTCCGCGACCGCCAACACTCCCCATGTGTGATTTTTACAAAGATTATTTGAATGAGCTACGGAGAGGGAGAGAGCAAGCGAGCAAGCTGGTTCACGTCCCAGATGGCCACCACCAGGAGCCAGGAGCTTCTTCCGGATCTTCCAGATATTTAGAATTTTCCAGCTTTCCAGCATTGATTTCCAATTTAATGCCATTGTTGTCTGAGAACGTACATTGTGTAATTAGCAGGGCACTTCAAAAAGCTCATGAGACAAGAAAAAGCAATTAAAAGTTTATTTTGGTGAAAAAAAAATTGAACTCCGGAACTCCTCTTTCTGCTTTTTTTTTTTTTTTTTTTTTGTCTCATGAGCTTTTTGAAGTACCCTCCTAATTACACAATGTTCTCAGACAACAATGGCAAGAAATTGGAAATTAGTAATGGAAAGCTGGATAATCCTGAATATTTGGAAGTTAAACTACCCACCTCTAAAGCACACGGTTAAAAGAAGTTCAAGAGAAATTCAACAATATTTTGACTTAAGTGAAAATACGAGCTATAAAATGTGGGGCCCGGCGGGAGCGGTGCTTACCGTGGAATCTCACTGAGCAAGCGCAGAGGAGGAACGATCTAGAACCAGCTCTCCACGTCTGCTGCAGCAGAGACAGGCAGCGCCCCGTGTGGAAAGCAAGCAGAGCTGACAGGAAGGGAGACAGCGAGGCGCGTGGGTCTGCCGTGGCGCAGAAACCTCGCACTTCCCACGCAGGCCACGCAGCCAGGGCCTGAATCCCTGCCGCGTGAGGCGAGGGCGCGCTGTGGGTGAGGGGCTGCAGGATCCGCCACGGCCGCTCTCCCGACTTCTCTGCCATAAACCGGGACTTCGCCTCCCACCCTGAGAGAGACCTGAGGCTTCCTGCCTGCCCTGCAGAACAAGACCAGGGCAGTGAGCCCCGTAGCGTCCTGTAAGTGGTTGCTACGGCACAGCTCGCCGGCACATCCAGCCACTGTGTCCTGGTGCCATCCTTGGCGTTCACAACAAGGATGTTGGCACCTGCGGCTCCCCTGCCTTCCACCGTCTGTAAGTCACGGCCGTCTATCCAGAAGTGGATTGTTTAGTCTCTGCCGGTGGAATCCGTCAGGATTTATCTCGTCTTCGTGAGTGTTTGGCAGCGCCACGTTGGCTGCCGTCCTTCCAGTCAGTTTTGTGACGCACAAGATGGCACATGCGTATTTCTTCTTGCACGTGCGTTCTTCAGAAAAACAGTTTCAAAGCCGATGATGACGCCTCGTTTGTGATGCGGACGAACAGCAGGGAAAAGCCTGTTCACTTCCACAAGTAACCGTGGCGTGCCCATATGTGCCTGCTATGCTGGTGTTAACGATGTCCTGGCGACGAGCTTCATGTGTGGCGCTGGCTGTGAACCCGAGAGTGACTGGGGCGAAGGGAGCACTCCCTCTTCTGCGGTGCTGATAGCGAGCCGCTCACACAGCTGCTGTGTTCTCACCTGGGTCTGCGTGTGAGTGCAGCTGATGTGTTTTCCAGGAAGCCTGCAACCACACGATTATGCAAGACCAGCGTTAGAAAAGGCTGCAGCCTCCAGAGCCACCTGGCCAGGTGCCAAGAGAGGCAGAACGGAGCCGTGCTCCTCTGCCTCTGAATTTCATCATCTGGGGTGTGTAAACCTGAAAACAGTTGAACCAGGCTCTCCAGTGGAGTCAGTTAAGTCCTGCTTCCAAAAGGCCCGAAGTCATTTTTTTCAATTCTTTAAAGATTGATTGATTGATTTGATAGAGTTACAGAGAGAGAGGGAGAGACAGAGAGAAAAAGGAGAGAGATCTTCCATCCACGGTTCATTTATCAGGTGGGCACAACAACTGGGGCTGGTCCAGGCCGAAGCCAGGAGCCAGGAGCTTCATCTGGGTCTCCCATGCAGGTGCAGGGGCTGAAGCACTTGGGCCGTCCTCCACTGCTTCCCCAGGCGCATTAGTGGGGAGCTGGATCAGAAGTAGAGCAGCTGGGACTGAACTGGCACCCACATGGGATGCCAGCATTACAGATGGCAGCTTAACCTGCTGTGCCACATTGCCAGCCCCTGCCAGAGGTTTCTTTCTTTCTTTCTTTCTTTCTTTTTTTTTTTTTGACAGGCACAGTGGACAGTGAGAGAGAGAGACAGAGAGAAAGGTCTTCCTTTGCCGTTGGTTCACCCTCCAATGGCCGCCGCGGCCATCGCGCTGCGGCTGGCGCACCGCGCTGATCCAATGGCAGGAGCCAGGTGCTTCTCCTGGTCTCCCATGGGGTGCAGGGCCCAAGCACTTGGGCCATCCTCCACTATACTCCCTGGCCACAGCAGAGAGCTGGCCTGGAAGAGGGGCAACCGGGACAGAATCCGGCGCCCCGACTGGGACTAGAACCTGGTGTGCCGGTGCCGCTAGGCGGAGGATTAGCCTAGTGAGCCGCGGCGCTGGCTGCAGAGATTTCTAATATTAAAATATCTACCACTGGACGCAACATGGAGAAATATTTGCTGTTAGAGGAAAATGTTATGAGCACCCCATTTCTTTACAGCAATATGATTATAGATATTCTTTGTTGCTTTTATGGTAAAAGACATTTAAGTTTTATTTATTTGTTTGAAAGCATGACAGAGGGAGAGAAAGAGATTTTCTGTCTGCTGGTTCACTCCCCAAATGCCAGCAACAGCCTTGGCTGGGCAGGGCTAAAGCCAGGAGCCAGAAGCTCCTTCTGGATTTCCCAGGTGGGTGTCAGGAACCCAAGTAGTTGATCCATAGCCTGCTGCCTGCCAGGTGCCTTAGCAGGGAGTTGGATTGGAAGTAGACGTGGACTAGATCCCAGGAGCTCCAGTATGGAATGGGGGTGTCCTACGCAGTGGCGTCACCTGCTGTTCCACAACACTCACCCTGAAAATAATGTTTAAAAAAACTTTATTTTTGAGGTGGAGAGAGAAAGATATGGGAAGATTCTCCTCCACTGGTTCACACCCTCCAGCTCGCCCAGTGGCCAGCACCGGGCTGCGTCCAAGCTGGGGGCCAGGAAGCTGCAGGTCTCCCGTGTAGGCGGCAGGGACCATCTGTCACTGCTGCCTTCAGGTGTGCACTGGCAGCTGGATCAGGAGCTGAAGCTGGGTGTCAACCACAGGCAAGTGGTGTGGGCCACATCATCCTCGTCCTGTTTTTCCCCAGATTTCAAGATATTTATTATAAATTTTTTATGGTTGATGTTTTGGATTTCTAAACAAATCATCTCTTCAATAAAGATGTCCAAACACATTTGAAATGAAAAATTCTCAGCAAGGTTTCTGGTGTGCCATTGTCACTTTTTAAAAATCTAAGTGTAACGGTTGGATGCCTAAATGATCCTAAGAACTTCATATATAAAGCAGCTATGTGTGCTGTGATTTCTCTTTGAACATCTTTTACACTTCTTGCTTGTTGAATTATATATGCATGTATCCATATCCTCTATATCTAAAACACTCCTGGACCATTAACATAAACCAAATGTCTTAAGAGATATGAAGCCCT